TTAATAAAAAAATTTATTTACTATTTTATATCATTTAATTATTACATAGTTAATATGAGATTGACTTTTTTTAAAATATTCTTTATATATGACACACATAAAATATTTTTTACACAAATATTTTTGTTAATAAAATCATATTGATGTTTAAATCATAAAGTGAATGATAAATAAGAAATATATTATAAATATTTTATAAATTTTACAATCACCTACTATTACCGTAAACTTATTATTTATTAATAATATTTAAAATTTATTTTTATATTTTAATTTAAAATAATATTTTTCTATGCAACATATGTATTACAAATACAACTATAATCTATTGAATCTAAATAATATTATTCTTACTATTTATTCACATTCAAAGAAATTTTTGAAAAGATATAAATATAAAAAATTATTGTTAATTTTTATTTGTTAATTTTTTTAAGATAAAAAAGTATAATTTTTTTTAATATACACGTATATTTCTTTATTATAAAATTTTATTGTAACTATTTATCTTTTATTCAAATTATTTTTTTTAAAATTTATATACATTATAAATATTTAATTCACTAAAATAATTTTTCAAAAATTTATATTTTTGATAAAATACTTTCGTATAGTATATGAGTTAAAAAATACTAGTATTAATATATATATATATGTATATATATATATATATATATATATATATAGATATTAATTATATTATATTATTTTAATTAAATCTATTATTTTTCTTACAATTTCAAATTCAAAAGTTTAAAAAAATATTTTATGTATCAACTTTTTGTTGTTAGTATTGAATTTCTCTACTCTAACTCTATTCTCATTCTCAATGTCTGTCTCACTAAAACTTAATAACTATGAAATGTTATTCATTAGATTTAATTGTTAATGTCGTCACAAGAGGTTACTAAGTGATCCCACACGAAGGGACAATCATTGTACAGATCTATTTCGTTGTCGTTCTGACATTACCAATCAATCAAATCTCACACAAGATAGGATTATTACTGACAAATAACTTGTGTGTTTAGTTTTACTTATTGTTTCTAAGAATTTTAGTTTAGAAAATTATTATATTAAGATACATTTAACATTTATAATCTTTGAATATTTGTTTTTTATCTATATTTGTACCTTGTTCGCCAACTACATATTGAATTTTTGTATTATTATGCTACTTATGTGAAGTTATATAAACATATTTTTCTTTATAAATATTTTTTTCTCAAACAAGCGCGGGTAATGGGTACAAGACGGGTATGCGGGTACGGGTACGGGTACGGGGATTAATGTTCATGCCCACGCGGGTATGGGGCCGGGTACGGGTATTTTTTTAAAACGCGGGTATGGAGATGGGTACTGTAGTACCCTACCCATTGTCATCCCTATTTCCAAATAACTAAACTAAATTAGACTTTTTTTAATAGTAAGATTATTATTTCAATTCAATTTATATTTATCCTTTGAAATCTTTACCAAGATATTGTTAAGGTAGTTAATCAAACTTTAACTTAATTTATTTATATAGGATAAATTAACCTTATGCAAATCTCTAAGACCCAATTCACCATCATCTTTAGAAGAACAAATTTTATTTGAAGCTATAAAATGATATTTTTTATGAGAAACAAAAGATCTCCAAATACAATTCTTACAAATTCTATTAATATCCTCCTATACTGCAATAGGACTAAAATGAGTCTACTTAATGTAATTAGGAATACTAAGAAGTGATATTCTACCAAAAAAGGAATTTTGTGCTAGCCTTCCACTTAAACTAAATTTCTAGCTCTATGCTAAACTCCATATTAAACATATGATTCATATTATTAGAAAATGCACCTTTGACTTATCCTTTTTCACTTTATGTTTTGAAGCATAGCATGAGAAGTTTTAAACTCTTTGAATAGTCTTGATTTAATGAGAAGTTTTTGCTATAGGGGCATGAAATAAATTTCTTACCAAAATTAAAATGATTACACTCACTTAAATTAACCTCATCTTAAATGCAATATGTTAATCTTTTTATCCTAAGAACAAAAATAGAAAAAGATACAGAGTTACCCTATTAGATACCCTTAGAAGGTCAAAAATTATCAAGGAGTTCACCATGGACATAAAAAAAGTAAAAAGGCATTGAAAAAACTAAATTAACAAATTTTGCCTAAAACTAGCTTCTTCAAAAACATCATTAATAAATTTTTAATTAATCCTATTATAAGATTTTTTCAAATCTAATTTATAACCATAAATCATTTATGGTTATTAATATTTTTGAAAAGTAGACTATTTCTTAAAGAATAATAACATTATTTATATCTTGTTTATCTTAGATAAAGCTACACTAATTTTCTAAAATCAATAAAGAAATAATATTTGAGTCTATTAGTCAAGCAATAGCTTTTCAAATCACATTGCAAAGAGATATCAATATAAATTGATTAATCTTTATAAGGGAAATAATTTTGAGAATTAAGATTAAAATAGTTTGATTAGCACTCTAAATTTTAGTAGGATAAACAAAAACATTTTTAATAAATTTTAAAACATGAGCGTGGAAAGCATCTTATTGAGATTCAAAGAATAAAACATGCATTGCATTCAAATTAAGGACTTTTAATTATCGACACTAAATTAAGGCATTTTTAATCCCTTTAGAAACCTCTCAATCTAAACAAACAAATTTTGTATTACTTAGAATAAAAAAATAAGCTACAATCTTAATCCTATCACAAACTAGATTAGGATCAAAATAAAGTTTAAAAGAATACAAATGACTATATTTTTAAATTTTATAAAATTCTGAAGCCAATTAGCATTATTATTCAATAAAGTTTCAATTGTATTCTTATGCCTATGAATTAAAGTAGCTTGATAAAGAAATTTATAATTCTTATTTCCTATATTAATCTACTTTATTATGTAATAGTGGAACCAAAAGACTTCTTTATAATCTAAAATCCTTTCATAATCTTCCTAAAGGTTCTTAATGAGCTTTAATAAAAAATAATTTTTTTCATTAGTTAATTTACTATGAATCATCTCTATCCTATTGAAAATTCTTTGCTTTCTGTTAAAGATAATGTCAAAAGTTTATCTGTTTTGATATGTGATTGTATTTTTAAAATAATTAATATTATCTTGTCAATTAACATTTTAATTTCAACAGCACCTCACTTAATTAGAAAAATTAAGGTAATTAATTTAATAAGCTTAGAACTTCAAAAAGCTTAAATTTCTACAAGGGAAGGATTGAGTCTTAATTTTAACCAAAGAACTATATGATCAAACTTCATAATAGAAACATGAATTAGAAAAAAGTGTTGAAAAGAAATTCTCTAATTATTATTAACAAGTAATCTATCAATTCTTTCCTTTGAACTCCTTTTAGGTTAAGTATAAAGGACTCTTTAAAACCTAAATCCACAAAGATCAAGAAAAGAAGCAAATTTTATAATAGCTTTATAGTTTGTTGGGCCACTCATTTTTTCTCGTGATCAAACAAAATAGTTAAAATTCCCTATCACACAACAAGAATATTTAAGATTTGTGCTAAAATTGGTAAGAGACTCTCAAAGGAGATTTCTACAACCTTCTTAAAACCAGCCTATTAGCTAGACACTAATGAAAATATGGAATGCTAAAAACTTTCATATGAGCAACATATCTAAAATTAGATGAAATAGAATTCTTCACCTTATGAAACTTCTATAAACATCAAATAACTCCTGAAAAACTAATGTCATCAACTTTAAAAACTAGAGTCAAAATTCATTTTCATAATAATACTAATGTCTACAATATTAATAGAGTATTTTAACAATGTAGTGTAAAAAGATAATTTTTTCACATTCTAAACACATATTCTAAAAAAAAAAAAAACACAATGAAAGAAAAAATAAAAATAAAATAAAACCTAATTTTGTTAAAAGATGACTTAATCATTAACATTTATTTTTGTCAAATAATGAAAAAATGCTTAACAAATATGCGTCAAAAAGAAAAATTTTAAAAATTATGAATTCTCAATATATCGTATTAAAATAAATCAATGATATGTACAATTAAATAATAAAAAAAGCAAGAAAAAAAGTAAACCATGATTGTATATTTTTGAAATTAAAAAAAAAACTAAAACTAAAAAGAGTACGAAAAAGAAGAAGAAGTAAATATACCTCTTAATAATGAAAAAGATCATTCAATGTCCCTATAACTATGCAAATAGAAAGTGTTGAGAAAGAGTAGAAGAATGAAAAAAGAAAAATAAGAAAAAAGAGTGAGACTGTTGTTTCCCAATGAAAAGATGGACTTATTAAAGAATAGTAAGATTGAGAATGTTAGTATTGTATTGGATCAAATTTGGCATCAAATTCTCATTCTAAGAATAGTAAAGTGGATGAGATTTTTCTTACCTTTAATAATAAATAATTATATAAAAATTTGAAATTCAAATTATTAATATTAAAAAAGTAAAAATTTTAATTGATTACATTGAAATTAATTCTAATATAACATGTCAATATAAAAAATAATAAATGATCTTATAAAATAGTAATATTTTTTTATTAAAATTTTAAAATTTTGAATAGAATAAAATTCTTTAAAAAAAGACAAAAAAAAGGTGTAGCAAAAGTTTTGGATGAGAGACCGACATTTCATTAAACTTTTCAACAAATGTATATATAAATAGATAAAAGTTATATTAATATATTAAAATTATATTATAATATTTTAAAATTGTATATTTGTCAGTTAAATTTAAACTTGTCAGTTTAGTTTAGAGGTTTAAATTTATAATTTTTTATAAATTATAAAAGATAAGATGTATACTTTTTTATATAACATGTAAGATTAAAATTTAAAAAGTTGAACAATAATATTTTTAATTGCTTAAAATCAATTAACATTTTACAAAAAGTATACGCTCATAAATATTGTCGGTAATTATAATAACCCCGTGAAAATTAGTGGATAAAAAGGACGAGCACCGAAGGATATGATATAAACTCAAGACACGAGTGTTGTAGATCTTGCACTCTCTACACGGGCTGCACTTGCTTACTTTGTCAGAATGGCTCTATTCCAATGGCTGAACGAAGGCTATATACCATTTTTACTCTTTATATCCATTTTCGTATTCATAGTTCTATTAATAAAACACCTCTTCATGAAAAAGGCAAGAAATGTAAGGTCCAATCTCCCTCCAAGTCCTCCTAGCATACCCATCATAGGCAACCTCCACCAGCTAGGTACCTCTCCACACCTAGCTCTTCAAAGACTTGCTAAGAACTATGGACCCATATTTTTCCTGCAACTTGGTCAAATCCCAACCGTGGTTGTTTCCTCAGCTAGACTTGCAAAGGAAGTGTTGAAAACCCATGATCTTGCACTTTCAAGCCGTCCACAACTCTTCTCAGCCAAATACCTCTTCTACAACTGCACAGACATTGTTTTCTCTCCTTATGGTGCTTATTGGAGGCATATAAGAAAAATTTGCATACTTGAGCTTCTAAGTGCCAAAAGGGTACTCTCATGCATTTCAGTTAGAGAAGAAGAAGTTGCTCGTTTAGTTCATAGGGTTAAAGGGTCTTGTCAAGGCACTGTTGATTTGTCTAAGATGTTGGGACTCTATGCAAATGATGTCCTTTGCCGAGTGGCATTTGGAAGGGGCTTTTCGGAAGGAGGAGATTATCAACGACATGGGTTCCAAAAGATGCTTGATGAGTACCAAGAGCTACTTGGAGGATTCAGTGTTGGTGACTTTTTTCCTTCCTTGGAGTTCATACACAGCTTAACTGGTATGAAGTCAAGACTCCAAGACACTTCTCGAAGATTTGATCAATTATTTGATCAGATACTGAATGAACACATAGGTTCCAATAAAATACAGGAGCATAAGGATCTCGTTGATGTTTTGCTCGAGGTGCAGAAGAATGACTCGGATGAGATGCCTCTCACCACGGATAATATCAAAGCAATCATTTTGGTTAGTGAAACCTTAGTACCCACGTGTTGGTACAGAATAAACTCTCATTTTAATAATTTAAAAAAGCTATTTGGTTTGAGAAAATGTTTTTTATTTTTAATTATAAAAATATCACTTTGTTTTCATTTATGTTACCCCATTTAATGATTTGTAAGAAATCAGTGAAAATGTACAACTTTCACCTTGCTTAATTGACAAATGACAACCCTTTGTGTTATTGCAGGACATGTTTGCTGCAGGAACTGATACAACCTTCATTACCCTTGATTGGGCAATGACAGAGTTGCTAATGAATCCAAAGGTTATGGAAAAAGCACAAAAGGAAGTGAGGAGTGTCTTAGGAGAAAGAAAGGTTGTTGAAGAGAATGACCTGCATCAACTTGAGTACATGAGAGTTATCATCAAAGAGACATTTCGGTTGCATCCTGCGGTTCCAATGTTAGTCCCAAGAGAATCCATGGAGGATGTTGTCATAGAGGGGTACAAAATTCCAGCTAAAACAAGATTTTTTGTCAATGCTTGGGCAATAGGTAGGAACACGGAAAGTTGGGAAGATCCAAATGCATTTAAACCAGAGAGATTTTTAGGGAGTAACATTGACTATAGAGGGCAAGATTTTGAGCTATTACCATTTGGAGCAGGTAGAAGAGGTTGCCCAGGTATTACTTTTTCCACTGCTGTTGTTGAGCTTGCTTTAGCTCAACTCCTTTACAGTTTTGATTGGGAGCTTCCTCCTGGTGTTACAGCCAAAGACTTGGACCTAACTGAAGTTTTTGGCATCTCAATGCACAGGAGGGAACATCTTCATGTTGTTGCTAGACCATACCCTCTATGAAGATTCATGATACAGCAAGTGTGAAGGGGATTTGAATTGTACTCAGTTAGTATTTAGCTATTAGTTGATGTCAATGTTAAGCAAAAAGTTTGAAGTTAAATAAAAGTAATAAGACGAAATGAGCCATTAGTGAATTGTACTAGTTGGATGAATTTAGTTCCTTTTGAAGTTTTCTCCATCAACTCGTTTCTTTGAGTTGCGATGAATAAATGGAAATAACTTCACAGTATCACATCCACACGCCCAAGGCCTCCATAAAGAAGAAACTTGAGATCCAAATTTTAGGTGGGGACTCTCAAAACAGAGATTTTGACAGAAAGACATAAGCTAACCAAGAGTTGATAAAGTAAGAAGTTTTAAACGTAAAATAAAGACTTTCGTTTGGTTTGCGAAAAGACTGTTTGAAGGTCATTTTATAAATATTATAAAAAGTTACATCATTTTTAATATTCCTTACACAAATATTTTTAAAAATGTATTAGTTTTTTCTATTTTGTGCATACAAATATTGAAAAGAGAAACATAACAAAAAATACTATTCTTATTTATGATTTTAATCCATATAAAAGTAATGAGATAAGTTATTGAATTTTCTTTTTTAAGATTCAGTCTTTTGACTCATTTAAAATGTAATTTAGTAACTCTCATGTCACAATTTAGTCACTCTCTCTACTCTTTTATGTTAAGTGATACACTAAATAAGTTCTGTTCTATTTAAAATATTTTATTATTCAAAATTAATATTTATAAATCAATCTCTAAACATATTTAAAATAAATTTTAAATATTGATAAAAAAAATCTATGGAAAACTGTCCCTTTCTCTTAGATCAAAGTTGTTTCTGGGTATTCTCAATGGGAGTTCCTCTTCCTCCCCCTCCACGAGGTGATGCAGTAAGCACAGCATGGTGAATGAGGCAAATGCAAGAATAAAAGGCCTTTTTGTATGGGTGTGTAGGGGCAATCTCATCTCTTCAGCAACAAATTGGTGCCCTACAAACCTAATTGGTCGTGGCCCACGCTGAGGCCATGCACTTTAGGGTGCCCCAAACTATGCCCATTTAGAATGAATTCAGATCTTCTGCAGTTGCAATCTGCATTAAGATTCGCATAAGCGAATCATGTAAAAAAAAAATGGGTGCTTTACTTTGCCAATGGCCTAAAGTTCAGCAGCAAATTCCTTATACCTTTTGTTCCCCACCCTCTCCCTCTCCCTCTCCTTTCTCCCCTTCCTCCACCTCTTGAATGAACACTCTTCGACCCATTCACACATCCCAAAGAAGAACACCAACAACACAACATCGGGAGGACCACGACGACACCTTTGCTCCATTTCCTGCACCGCATTGATGCTTGCTGAGAACAGAGCCTCCACAAACCCATCTTTCCGGTTCCGCACCCAATCCTTAATCCCTAACCGCGTGGCTTTTTCACTGATCCAGTTCCTATACCCCACCACCTGCACCCTCCCTTTTATCACAATCCTCTCTTGCACGCCACATTCATTCCAATCAATATCCCAATCCCACTACATAATAATTAATTAATAAATTGAATTTTCCTCTGCGTATCGTTTTGGTAGAAAAGGAATTTGAGGAACCTTGAGGAGTGGTGATCGCCAGCAGAGAACGTTAAAGAGAAATGCGGCTTCGATAGAAATGGAAGAGTCTAGAAGCACTAGCAAATAGGATTTGTTTAAAGCAAATTAACTTAAGTGAATTTTTTTTTATCATTTTATAAGATTTGCTTAAAAATAGACTACAGACTATTCACGTCAAAACTATGGAAAATCATTCTACCTAAGTGATTCCATGTGTTGATGAGAATAATTAATTTAATATTAATATAATTATACTACTTAGATCATGAGAAGACATCATTTTCTTAAGCAGGAGATATTACTTTCTCAAGTAATGTCTTTTATAAACTCTTTCCCTTTAATAGGGAAGAACTAAAACTCTAGAAGCGGGGGCTGCGGCTGCGGCTGCGGCTGCGGCGGCGGAAAGAGCTATGGAGATGGAGTCTTCGGTTTCATCTTCTGAGGAAACAAAAAGTTGGAGCCAAAGGGTATCTGAAAATGTTCTTTTTTCCTACACTTCTCTTCCCAAGAAAGGAAAACCTCAAGCCGTGAAGTCGCCGTTTTGGCTGCTTTTCTTCTCTCTTCTCCTTCCAATGGTTATCTTCTTCCCTTTTGCATTACCCACTATCCAAGTTTCAAATTTTTTTTTATCAAAATAGAAGGAAAAACAAAACAAACTTTATATATATTTATTACTCGGTTAAAGATTTGAAGGTAGTTGCAATGGGAACTGGAACAAAGTGTGTTGGACGTTCTCTGTTACGCCCTTTTGGTGATGTTGTTCATGATTCCCATGCTGAAGTTATAGCTCGAAGAGCTTTTCCACTCGCATACTATTAAACAAATCAAACGCCTCCTTAAAACGGTTGCTTTGCACAAAACCTGCTATCATAACATTCCAAGAAACAGAGATCTTGCAAGGCATGAGCTCAAAAACACGAAAAGCCTCATCCACGAACCGCCGTTGACAATACCCAGAGAGACAGGACAGTGTTCAGGATTTCTTTTACAAATTTTACAAATATATTTTAAAAAAATGTTTGTTAATATTAATTTTAAATAATAAATATTAAAAAATTAAATGATCGTTTATTATTTAGTTTATCACTTTATAAATAAGTCAGAGATTAAATTCTTACAGATTTTTTTAAAGAGTTATCATAAAAAGTATTATTTTTGTAGAGATAAAAACATAATTAAGTTAAAATAAAAAATATTTTAATAATCACGTGTGAAAATAAAATATAAAAATAAAAATCAATTTTCGAAACCAACCAAATCTACAGCTTTTAATGTATTACATGCTACCTTTTATTATTATTACTTTTTTTTTTATTAATTGATAAATACCTTTATAGACACTCAGCAGAAACTTTGGGCATAGGTATGGGCATATTTGGAAGAATAATTATAAATGCTTAAAGTGTGAAATTAATGGCACATTAAATTTAGCTAGAAATGCTTCTATACGAGGGTCCAAGTATTGTAATGTAGCTGACAAATCTGCTATTTCAGCTGCTAAAATCGTGTATTATGGAGCCCCAAGAGAAATTATTTTCACAAGACTGGTATCTGTAATCTGTTGCCTAAGTTTCCCCAATTTGGGAAAATATTTATAGAAAAATCATCATCCGAACACGGGAAGGATATAACACCCATTCTCCCAACCTTTTCCTTTAACCTTCAAACCTTTATACAAAGTCTTAAAGACAAGCTTACGACAACACAATTTCAAAAGCAAGGAATGACGGAAAGCAAAATGGATACAAATGCCCATAAACACACATTAATACATGAACAATCATAGCCCTGAGGGGACTTCTGCAACAACATAATTAGGTTTCAGAATTCATCTAGTATATCAAATATTGCCAGTTACAGTACACACATTTCCCAACAAAAGTAACATTAATGGAACAGTAATATGACAAAATTATTATTTTTTCCTTCTGTTATGGAAATTTCTTAAAGAAAAATACAAGCACTTGACCTAAAAAATGCATTAGTACATACCCACATGGAAAAAAAAAAAACCTAAATTAGAAAGACTGTCCAATAAACTTGCATTTACAATCCAGTAGTGAAAAAGAATAAGATGGGCAGCTATGACAAAATCTCAGAAAACACACTATGGTAAATTACATTAACTAAAGGATGGGCAATAAGCCTTTAACAAAGGTCAACATCCAAAATTGAGTTCCTTAGCTGTTTGATTCTGTATGCTCATCCCCAACAAGGAACATAATCTCTAAGAGGATTAATTAATAACTTCAAGGCATCCATATTAGTACCTCAATGGGTCCTGATATCTTGAAGATAGCGCCCAAGTTGCTGAGCACCAATATATAATGCATCAGCAACAAGAAAGACTCCAACCTATGACAGAAACAATCAAACTTGAATGGCAAGACTGAAAAATAAGATTTAAAACTGAAAGCATACAATTGATAAATTACCAGGCGTGCAGAAAACACTAATCTATAACCCCAACCTTCCTTGGCTGCAGCAGCTCTTTGTTGATCAGTCCAACTGGAATTAATCATGAAGTCAGAAATTTGTAACCATATTTAAACAATTTCATAAATTTTTGGATTATATAGAACCTCATTTAAAGTCTGCAGATTGTAATCAATATGATATAATTATCATGCAATTATGTCCAAGTAATTAATTAGGTCCAGCAAGCTAGGTACATTCCGCTACAAACATCAAATTGTCATCAACTAACAATGGATCATAATTCAAATCTGTATATGTTAAACTTTTTATTATGTGATGCAACCAGGAAAATAGGCTATTCAATTGTGTTTTCATTGCCAGCAAGCATTGACAGGATTTTTTATCATGAATTCTAGGCAACTTGGAAATACAAAACACATCCTATATTAATGAAATCTTCCAGAACTATTTGCATCAATTATTGTGGTTTAGTTCCTTGCATGAATATAGTAACACCCAATTTGAAAATTAACTTGTGAATTGGTGGTAATTTTATCTTTTGCAAGATCACTTGCAAACCATCTCCATGAAATCAACTTCGAGAATAACACAATTTCTCTTGTTATTGAAATTAAAAAAGAAGACATCCATCTTCAACGTGCATAATCTATAACGTAGTTTGTCAAAGTGATACAGCAAACCATGATAGGGTGATCTTGAACAAAGGTTTTCAAGAGTTCCCAATCAATCAGAACAGTGTAAGTATAATGTTCAAATGTGACATGAATTCATAACAAAAACACTACAAGCAGTAAAAATTATAAAATAATTTATGTTATCCAGTAGAGATAAATTCAAATTGACAATGCTGAATAGACTTTATAAATATTATATACTACACGCATTAGAAGGATGGAAAAGGTGAGATAAGGTAGTCACCCAAGGAATTCTGAAACACCACCAATTCCAGCAAACTTAAGAGGCACTGGACCCTCTACAATGAGATCCTGCTTCACAGTAAATATGGGCCAAAACGGAATAAGCTCACCAAATAAGCTAATTTTGTTTCCCCACATTTGATCAAAGTAAATCACATTGCATATTCCAGAAAACTGAAATTGGAAAACATGCCTCATCTTCGGCAGCCTCAAAGCCTCCTTGAACCCAAAACAGATTTGTATAGCCAGCGTTATACAGTAGTTCACAAGCAGCAAGTGATCTGGCCAGAAAATGAGGTTCAGAACTACACAAAAACTATGTGGTTTATTTGACACTAGCAAAATGACAGATGATTTTCATCCACCTGCATTTGATTCAATGTTTGAAAACTGAAAATAGGATTCAAAAAGCAGAGGAAGTACCACATTATAAGGAAAGCAGAAAATTAGAATTAGAAACAACTCCATTGAGTGTGCAATCAATCAAATGTATAAATCTCACCTAAGTCCCTTCTGACATGCAACAATTAATTCAGAATCTTTGGGGAACTTCTCCTGAACTTTGCCTAAGAACTGGCTGTTCAAGAGAGGAAAGAAATGAATTATAAAATCCATGATACAGAGAATCAATCAGAAGAGCAAATGACAGTTTAGGATACCTGTCATAAGACAGTGTAGGCATGCCGCTCCACCAACCCCCTGTGCCACACAACATCAAGTCATATCTAGTAGATTTCTAATGAAATGTAGCAATTTATTGTATAAATTGAGAAAGTCTATCAAAAGAATAAAGGTGAAAATGGATAATGAAAGAGCCAGTACAGATCTTTTCATACCCATAACGAAATTTGTGATATTTTTGGGAATGGTTCCAAAATCTAGTTTATCATCAACATCAAATATTGGAATCCAGGTTGAAGCTTTCACCCATGCCTTCAAACATGCATAAACAGTAAGCAAAGATCACAACAATGAAGTAAAAGTAAAGGCAAAAGAGTCAGATTACTTATATTTGCAATATGAAAAAATTAGTGATGCAAAAGTTGAATAAAATTAAGAAAAATGATAACTCCAGTCATTTAAAATAACTAAGAACAGTAAAATTTTATTGGAAGAAAAAACATTTATTAGATTTTGTATTTTTCGATGTAATAAATACTTTTTTTCGATAAAATCTCCCTATCTTTAGATACATGAATTAGGGCTGATGTTTACAAAATCCTAAAATTAAATGTATTAGGAAATGCATCTGATGCAATCTTTACAGCTAGCAGGATCAATTACCATCTTGATGATAAACTCTCAAATGTATGACCACAATAATAACATGTTTAAAATGTCAAATGACATTATTATCCCTTCTACTACAGCTAAATAACTAAACCACATGTGCGATGTATTTGCTAAGGTGTTTGAAAGCACGAAAGAGAAACCTTTTTGTGCTCATTTGAGGGACGAACATCAAGAAGGGGCTTGTTTGAAAGCTGAACTGCATACCCAGCTTCCCTGGGAGTAAGTACCTTAACTTTCCCATCCCTGATCTACAAAATAAGCAAGTAACATCTTGGTCTAAAAGGTTGTTACCGTTTGAGAAACCCAAAACAATGGATACCACTAACTAATACATAGCTAAATTCACTATAAATTGTTAATAAAAAATAGCTGAATGAAATTGAAATACCAGAGCTTCCCATCTCTTTCTGGCAGCAGCCATGTCCCTCATTTGCTTCAATTCATAATCCTCACTCTCAGCTTGCACTCGAATTACGCTCTTCTTCTGCAAAAATGAAAGAAACACAGAGATGAAAGAAGGCACGAACCCATTTAAAATAATTATAAAGAGGGAAAGAATGGATACCAAAGAGAGGGATCTTGCAGTGGAAGAAGGATTGAGTTGTAAGAAAGAGAGCGAAGCATAAGTGTTGGTAGCCCTGAGAGAAATGTAATTGGCAGTGGAATATGAATTGGTGAGAGTGTTTATGGGAAGGGATAGTGCTTCCATGAGATGAGAGCACACGAACGATGAAACAACCTTTGATTCTTCAAATTCCTATCCCTTCAAATTAGTTGCTATCCAAATTCTGAACAGTGAAGAAGGGAAACACCTTTTTCCTCAATTATTTTTCTCATCAAACATTTTTTTTTTTTTAAGATTACTTTGTATGTACATTTTTATTACGTCTAACATTTTAAAATTTATTTTTTATATATTTAACTTTAAGGTTAATGAGTAATTTCTCTTTTATTTTTCAAGTGTTTTACAAAATTTTATTTGAGAACATGATTTCAATAAATAAAAATCCTTATTCCTATTTGTCAAATGAATTTAATTTAAATATAAAAAATTATTCAATCATAAACTGTGGCATTAATAATAATAGAATTTAAATATTATGAATGTTAAAAGAAAAGTTATATACTAGTTCACGGACTAAGTTAGATAGAAAGAAACATGAATATATCTTAACTGGCATTTATGTGTGAGGCAGACATTTCATTGAGAAAAATGGTGTCCCTCTGCTCTCCGACAAATGCATCTCTAAGTCAATAACAAGAGAAGGGAATTCTTTTTTCAACAAAATAATCAAATTGGCTTGCAATTACGTTCACTAGATCTTTATTATATGTTTACATTAGCATTCTTGCAGACCAAAAGAAACAAAATACATTAGCATGCTTGGTTTTACATTGGATGATGAAACGAATTAAGTGAATCATGTAAATATGGATGACATTGTTTTTTCGTTTTTGAATAATATTGACATTTTTTTTCCTTCTTAAACTCTTCTTTTTTAATTGTTATAAACATTTTAAATGTGAATATCATTACTCATTAGGAAATTATATAAATATTTAAGAGACTATTTAATTATGCAAGAAATTATGTAAATGTTTAGGAGTTCACTTTTAAGGGTGTTTTTAGAGTGTCTACAAGAGTAAGAATTTGTTTGTAGTAGTTTTAAAATTTTAAAATATGTTTCACTTTGACTATTGGAATACAAAAAGGTAAAAAAGGAAAGAAAAAAAAAAGTCAATAGATTTATTCATATTCAAAAGAAAAAGGAAAAGGTTCTTTAGGCTACTCAAAAAAAAAATGTTGATAAAAGAGATAATGTTGGTAAAGATACATGAGGAACTTGTACACATGCAATTAGGGAAAATAGCATGAGCATAGCTTTTTTCTTGATCTTAACAACGATCAATGGATAACTTTGTTAACTTTTTTTATTAGTAACAAGTTTGTTTCATTCACTAAAAATACGGTAGAAAGCAAGTGTTCTATTTTGATTGTTAGACTCAAAATTCTCAAATCACATTATAAGAAATTTGATCATATTAATAAAAATATTAGATATCTCACTTTGTTTATCAGATTACTCCATAAAAAGGATGTGATCTCAATGTGTTATATTTGCATACAATTTAACTTATAATTTATCTTTGTATATCATATAATACTTAATTTGTACGGCTAATTCTTATTAATATATTTGAATATAATACAACACCACATTTGAGTAAAGCAATTGATGTGGGTGAGCAACAAAATAAGGTCTATCATTCTCAAGCAATTACTCTTGTATGGACATACAAAGTAAATAGAGTTAATGCTTTGAACAAGTGGCACTGGTGTGTGGGGCATCTTTTAAGTCAAATAGTTTGTTTGTTGGTGTTTGGGATGTTGTTAAAAAAAAGTAATCAAGTGTATGATATTTGTTTGAGTGATAAGTAAACAAAAAACAAATAAAAAATTGTTACTACCAACTAGAATCATTGAACCTTTTGAGTTGATGCACTATGATGTATAGGGTACTTATTATGTGTGTTTTTCTTGTGATATTTTTTTTTTTACTATTTTATTACTGTGAATAATTTTTATTATGTTATTTAGATATATTTGTTAATTGAAAAGAATAAGATAGTAATTATACTTTAAAAAAATTGTGTTATATTGTTTACTTATTAAATAAAATGGTTAAGAAGTAATAATGATATTGAATAAATTTTTTGAAAAATTACTTTAATAAATATAAAATAATTAATTAAATATCAATAGTAGATACTCTTTAATAAAATAGATACATAATTGAATAAAATTATAATAAAATGTACTGATTTAGCTTAAAAAGAAAAAGAGAACATGTTGAATAAAAGATAATTTTTTTTGTTGCTCCTTGCATTAAAATTGTTCTTTTCCCACTATTTCTTTTCTTTCTTTTTCTTCTTATATGGATGTAATTTCATTCTCTTTTTCCTTCCTCAGTTTCAACTTCTACATTATCCTTCTTTCTCACTCTCTTCCTTCTGTGTCACTTTATCTTATTTTTTATATGAGTATTTATTTATTTTTACTTTAATTTATGTTTCTAAAATTTTGAAAAAATCTTTATAATTCATTTATTTTTCTTTTTCACATAGATAACTTTAAGTAAAAATTTTAAAGTCAAAGATAGTGTCTTGAGGAGAAAAGTGTGTCACCCATTATAAAAAAAAATTTATATTTGAGTTCTTAAAGTATGCTCACAACTCAAATATACAAATAATATTAATTTTTATCATATTAACAGAATATTGATTTTTGTCAAGTTCTCAATTAAGAAATTATATTTTAGAGCTTTGAGTATGATCTAAATATTTTATTATTTAATTTTGAATATTTATTAAATATTATTAGCATCCATATTTTTTAGCTTGTACTTTTCTTACAATTTTGGAGTAGTCTTGAAAGAGTTAATTGTTTAGTTCTTCACCATTTGTGAGGGGATAATGATTATAAAGATATTTTATAATTATTATTTTAATTTTTTATCACGTACTATTTTCTAAAAAATTATTTGCTTGAAGAAACAAGTCCTAAATTTATTTTTTATTTTATAAAAGCTTACAAATAAATTTATAAGACAAATTTATTTGTAAAGTGTGAAGGAAGTAATTGTTTTTGTTTTATTTGGTGATATTTAATTTTGAGACATATACATTAAGCTTTTTATTATTACAAATAAATTTGGTTTATGCATGAGAATGAATTTATAGGATATGAATAAGTTTAGGAGAATTTATGTTAGCTCTTCATAACTAATAGTGGAAATAATGGTCTTAATGTGTCTATTTAGTAGTAGTAGCAATAGCAACAATAATATTCTTGGAAGGGCAATTAGAATGAATTTATTTTAAAATAATGTATTATAATTAGACTCTACAATTGTGAATTACTTAAGTATTATTTGTTTCTTTTTTCTTATTAAGTCTGTGTAACTCATTCTTGTATTTATTTATTTATTTTATCATTAAATAATCAAATTGTAGACTACTAGAATCTGGAAAGATAAGTTCATCCTAATAGAATCTCCATTAGTATGCCCTCATTGTGTAGCCTCATTTCTTTTATTTTTGTTATATTTGACTTTTTGTAGTTGTAAAGGAGTTATATTTTATTTTGGTTATGTAATAGATATTTTAGTATTGATATTATAAAAAATATTGAATCACATTGGATGTGGTTAAGTTATAAACTGATTCTAATAAATTATCATATTTTAGAATGATGAAGTTACAGTCTTAGCAATCACACTCCTACTACCTTGGATGGAGGGAAATATTCTTAAGAAATATTATTTGGTTAGGTCCCACCTATTCTTATATTTGGACATTTGGATGGTTATCTTATACTCTAAATCAATTTAGACAAAAAAAAAGAAGAAAAAGAAGAAGATAAGTTTGGTAAGTGAAGTAGACAATGTATACTTATATGGTATCCTTACAAGGAAAAAAGGTGGTACATTTATGATTTGAAAAGATATAAGTATTTCAATTCTTAAAATGTGTTTTGTGAAAATGAATTTTTATATGTTACATGTTGTCTTGATATATACAACATAGCTTATGCATCAACACTTTTGTGGAATAATGGACTCCATGTAACTAATGATCTAGCATGTATATGTATGATGCAAAGGAGAGTAATAAAGACAAAAAGTATTAATATCATAATATGAAACGTGCCTTATACTATAGAAAATTTTGACAAAAAATCTCTTGAACAACTTGGAGTGTAGTTACAAGAAGTGTTAACTGTTAATCATTAAGAAAACAACAAAAGATCACATGTCACACTATGAGTTTATTAATGACCTTATTGTTTATTTACTCACATTATCTAAGTTTTATTTTAATTAAATTGAAATCACTTATTTGTTTTCACAAATCACAAGAAGTATTAACCATTAAAAAACCAAAAGATCACATATACTGCATTATGAGTTTTGCTAAAAAAGTAATTTCTCATTCATGCACATCACCTATATATGCCTTTAGGTACATTATATCCTCTTGCACAGTATGACTTGTTATAATTTTTTTTATAAGAAGTGGATAATTTCTTATAATAGTTTATGATGATGGGCTCATTTGGTTCACTAAAGCTACGCCAAATTCTCATTAGTAAAGTACTGTGATCCAAGAGATAAATGCTTTAGAAAGGATAGAAACTTGTGCATTTGTTGTCAAGAAAAAGATAACAGATACAAATGAATGTCAAAATTAAGTACAACTCAAATAATATAATTGAATATTATGGGACAAGGCAAGTTGTTTAAGGAGATAACTAGAAAGAAATAATTATTACAGCAAAACTTTTGTATCCATAGCAAAGATGATGACTACATGTATTTTTTTTGTTATAATAGCTGTTAGATCATAAATGTTGCAACAAATGAACGATTATAATAATTTTTTATATGGTGATCTTGATAAAAAAAGTTTGTATGTAGTTACTATTTAGATTTTTTGTCAAGATCCTAGAAAAGTTTATAGGTTACAAATTTCTTTTCTAGTTTGTAAAAATTGTTATTGCATTGAAAAAAATAAGGATTTAAGTAATCATATGGATAAAAATATGATTTTAGTCTCTCACTTTTTTGTTTGGTATCAAAATAGTTCTTATGCTTTCATTTATTTCAATTTAGTATTTTATATTTTGTCTTTGCAATCATTTGTTGTCAATTTTTTATTACATGTAATATCAACTTCACTTTTAAGTTTAAAATATAAAATCCTAACCCTAAGATCATCTCTTAGAGAAAATATATCAAAAGTTAAATCTCAAAGTTGTAAGTAATTTTATTTTATTTTTGCAAAATGAATGAAAATGAACTAAAAAATAGAGGAATAATTCATATTGAAGCTTAATCTCATCTTGAAGTTGACAAAGATAAAATAGCTAATGAAGAAAATAGTGAAGACAAAAGTTATAATAGGAATGAGATTGACTTAAAGTATAATGATTTTTTAGAGGTCTACAAATTAGCATAGTATAGATTTTTTTTAATAGAGATGGTGATTCTTTTTTATGTATAAGATAATGTTGGAACTCAAGGAGAGTACCTACTTGATGAAGGGTTACATAATTCATTTGAGAAAATGATCAAGATAAGAGTAAAGAATTATTAAGTGATACAAACTCAAATGATGAAGATCCAACTGATAAAAAAGATGACCCTAATTTAATAAAAAAACTTGAGTATGGATATGTGACTTTTAAGTTAGGATGGTGTTTAGAAATTTATTTGTGTTCTAAAAGATTATTCACTATTATATAATGCATTAAGGTATAGAGATAAAGTTTGTTAAAAATGATGAAGTAAAATCACAGCCAAATGCATGAGATGTGATTGGAAAATTTTATGCTTTTGAGTTTAAAACATCAATTTATTTTAGGTAAAAATATTTAATGATCAACACACTTGCACAAGATCCATGAAGATTCCTCAAACATCTTCATGGTTGAGAAATCCTTTTTTAAGGTAACTTTAAATATTTCAAGGTATCGATATTATAAATACATCACAGAGACATAAGTCATAAATATGTCACATGGCGTATAGGACATGGTTGAGACCTCAAGCACTCATGGAGGATAGTGAAAAAGATAATACATGGTTATGAGATTATTGTCAAGAGTTTAAAAATTCAAATAGAAAAAACACAATTCAACTTGGTGTGAATAGACTAGCGCATGGTTTACTCCCTATATTTGATAGAATGTCAATTTGTTTCATTGCTTGTAAAGAGGATTTCCTACATAGATGTAAACCAATGATTGGAGTAGATGATTACTTTTTGAAAGGCTATTTGGGGGGCCAAATTTTATTTGCATAAAATGACAACAATGGATTATTTTCAATTGCATTTGTGGTGACGCTGAAGGAGAATAAGAATACTTGATCTTGTTTTCTTAAAAAATTGTTGGATGATATTGGACAATAATGGATTATTTTCAATTGCGTTTATGGTGATGCTTATGGTGATGCTGAAGGAATTCATACTTGATCTTGTTTTCTTACAAAATTGTTGAATGATATTAGACAACATGAAAATAGAGAATGGACTTTCTCATAAGTGATAGGCAAAAGGTAAACATAATATTAAAAACTTAAAATAAGATTAAAAATAAGTTTGTTGAAAGATATATTTAGAATTTCTTTATTATTAAACTTGTTAACAAATGTATTACTTTTTTTTATAATTTAATTTGAATATTTGATCCAACTAATAACTTTTTTTCAACTTTTAATTTGTTCATTTTTTATTTAATTTGTGCAATTTACATTGAATTAAAATAGTTTATGAATATTCTAACTCACTATATTTTACAGGCTTTGTTTAGCCTGGAAACATGAAGTGACATGCATATTTATATAATTTTTTTTGTGTAATTAATTTATTATTTTATGAGAATTCTTCTCATTATTTATTGGGTAATATTATTATGGAGGCTAAATTTACATTAAAGGAATGCATAGCCCTTGTGGTCGTGTATCTTCGTAAAATTAATACGTGTCGATTAGAACTCTAAGCTATGTTTGGATGTTCGTAACTGATTAGAGTAAAATAAGATAAAAATAAAATAAATATAATTAAAATATTTTGATTGTTTGGATAATTTTGTAATAGAATTGTAAAAAAAAATAATTATCCTATGTTTTCAAATTGATAAAAAAGAAAAAAGAAAGAGGATGTTGCCTCAAATAAAATGATATATATTTAAATTTTTTTATGGAATTCTATTCTATTTAAAATAATTTAAATAATAAACTTAACATCTTTTCATTCTATTTTGTTATGTTCCACCCTTTTTTTAAATGCAAATATATAGTTTTCAATGTTTTAAAGGTTGATTAGTTGACTAATTTTTTATAACATTACTTGATACCAATGATGAATCTCTAAAAAAAAAAAAATGGGAACAATCTTTGTTAACATTGACTAATCATGTAGCTAATTGATCAATTGTGAAACAAACTAATTTATTTTCATAGATTGTTAGATGCAGTTTATGATTGAAATTTTTATTTGTAAAAAATTTTTAAAAAATGGTTATCAAGTGATCTGATTTTCAAATTTTCCCTTCAAACTAGTAATATAAACCATTTTAATTGTGATTTTTATATCTAATTTTTATTAAAAAGGAAAATATGTAATTTCCTAAATATATTAATCATTTTGAACATGAAATATTAAATCAGTTTAATTTAATGAATTGAAAAAAAAAACAATTTTTAAAAATTAAAAAAGTTATCCTATGTTAAAAGTTAGGGCATGTTATTGGTCTTATCTAGAATTTAGAGCATAGTTAGATTATTAAGAATTTAACTGATTAAATACGAATAATATAACTATAATTTTTAAAATATATTATTATTACTTTTAAATAAAATCTAGTGTATTTTTCTTATCATTAATATGTGAAACATACAAATTAAGATCTAAAAATTGTGCAGTAACATGGCTGATTTCTCAAACTCAATATAAGCACTTTCGTGACGACATCACACACTACAACTGACACCACCTTTGTTTCACAAATTAATATTGCTTGGCCTGATTATTTTAAAAGCTTAAATACTATTTTTATAGTTTAAATTTAAAATAAAATTTTAAAATTAAAGTTATTTAGAGTTTGTTTGATTTAGTTTTAATTTTTAATTTTTAAAATTTATATTTTAAAATAATTCTATAAAACTGTTTTTAAAAAAATAAAATAAAATAAATTTTGTTTGATAATTTAATTTTTAAAATTATTTTTACTTAGAACTTGTTTGTTTTCTTTTTTTAAATAGAGTTTTTAGTTTTTAAAATTAAAAAATAGAAAAACTTGCTTGTTAATGTAAGGTTTAAAACTATTTTTGAAAATTAATTTTTGCTTTCAGTTTTTAAAACTGAAAAATAAAATTGCTATTTAAGTGTTTTTGTTTTTTATTTTTCTGTTTTTTTTTCTAAAACTAACAAAAGTCTAACAAAAAATAATTTTAAAAACTAAATTATCAAATAAATTTTATTTTATTTTTCTAAAAATAGTTTTATAAAATATTTTTAAAATCTAATTTTTAAAATTAAAAATCAAAACTAAATCAAACAAACCCAGACTTTTTATTAGTTTTAGAAAGAAAAACAGAAAAATAAAACACCTATGTTTCTGACTAACAAAAAGTCTGGGTTTGTTAGTTTAAAACACTTTTACATTAAAAATTTTCAATTATATATTATTCAATGTTAAAATTTGAAAAAAAAAGAATTAAAAAATTAGCTGAGAATTATTAAAAACTTTCTAATTTTTTAATTTTTTATTTATAAAAAAGAAAAAGAAAACTACTACATACATATAAATCAGAGTATTGGCGTGCTTAGCCACTGATACTTGGACAACAATATGCCAAGGGATGAGCTGTCTGTGAACAGTAGAACCAATGTCACCGACTTCAATCATAATTCCTACGAAAGATGACAAATCCAAAACAAACAATTTCGCCCATTGTATGTTTGCATCCACCAAAACCGTAATAAATGCATAAAGTTTCACGATGTTACACCTTTCTCAGATAGTCAATTCAACTATGTTGCGTTGCAATATAGTCAAATAATCTCTTAAATTTTTATTTCAGTTCATTTTTTTCTATTTTAAAATGATTTTAGTATTCGCATTTCTTAAAAAGTGATTCCAAAACATGCACGAAACTAATACACTAACCGTGTTATATTGAAATCTAACATAGTCTTAGGAAAGGTTGTTTCTGGGTGCGTGCAAGCTGACAAGGATAAAGCGAATGATTCGTGAGTGCTTGTTATCTTGTTGAATCTACACGAGATAAAGTTATTGCTCTTTAAGGGGAACAGGAACAATGAATCTATTTTTCTTTTAAAACTTCGTACTTACATTTACATTTCAAAATTTAATTTTTCAGTAACAAACCTTATCAATAATGGTGATTATATTATAGCATGATAACTTAATCTTAGATCTTAAATTTAATTAAAATTAAAGTGATAAATTAACTTATCATCACTAAATTAAGCAGTAATCAATGTAGTTTGAGAGTTTGAGGGGTTAAAACAACCAAACACCAAACATTGCCTAAGGGGTGTGGAAGTGACAAAGAAAGAGAGAGAAACTTCGTGGAAACAACCTCCACCCTTCGTCTACATCAATCAACATATCCATTGTTACCATTTATCAATCACTGCCACTGATATCGACTCGCCCACCATATACCCACCCTAATGCTCTTCAACTTCCACTACCTCACTCTCTCACACTACTTCCTGCCCCTTCAAGGTATCATTTTTATTTTCACATTTTCCATACAGTTTCTGATGTGTCAATGTAACGTTGTTAAGTTTGCAAAGTATATTTCTTTCTTATAGATTAATGTGAATTAAAAGAAATTAAAACAAAGAAAGATAATGGATGAAGTAGAAATCAGTGTTAGTGAATTAAAATGTAGATTAGAAGAGTATGTACATTAATTATTGGGTTGAACATGAATGAGAATAGTTTTGAGAGATTTGATTTGAATGCGTTAATGGGTTGTTGAGTTTCCTTAGGATAAAGAATTTATGGGTGGATCAATTTCAAAAAGGAGGAGTTCAAGGCAACGTTCATCCTCGAGGTTTTTTCCGCAGTATCAATCACCTTATTTGCCACAAAGCCAAGATCATGGGTCTGTGAGTCATTATGGGCATTCATCTCAAGGCTATGGTGGTGGTCATGCTCCAGAGCAAGGAAAAGGGTCAGATAGGAAGTTTTCAAGGATAGGTGATAATTATAATAGCTTGGACCAGGTAACTTTTTTTATGATTCCTTGTTGTCAATGTATGAAATGGCTTAAATGCAGAATAAATTGGGTCATGGGTGTACTGTGCAATGTCTTTGTAGAATCTGTTTCAGGGTTTATACTGGATGAAATTGTCCCTTCATTTTGTGTTTAAGCTTATAGGGTTTGAGAAACAAGAGCCTATTATTTTAGTTCAGGTCTTGAATCATTGAGAATTTGAAAAAGCCGAGAAAACGTTTTCTTTTCTTCATCGTGTAACTATATTTTTAACTGTTATCTAGATGTTGCCATTGTAAAGATGGTAATGAATTTGCTTGCTAAAAGAAATGATTTCATCTTGTTGTCTATTTTCTGCAAGTTTTATGCAGGTCTTTTGGTTCATGTCATTGCTCTATTTCAGGATGTAAATGTTAGATTACTATGGTGACTTGTGTTACTACACCATTAAGAATTTAAATTCTTATGTTTATTTGACATTCTTAAAATTTTCCTTATTGGAAGGTAACTGACGCTCTTGCAAGTGCTGGCCTAGAGTCTTCCAATCTCATTGTTGGTATTGATTTTACAAAGAGCAATGAGTGGACAGGTTTTGCTTTGTTTGACTAATCTCCGTCATTTTCTTTTCTTTATTTTTCTGTAATTGTGTTAACATGCACTGCATAACTTGCTTTTGTATTAGGTGGAAGGTCATTTCAAAGGAGATGTCTGCATCATATTGGTCATGAACAAAATCCATATGAACAAGCTATATCTATCATTGGCAAAACATTATCTTCCTTTGATGAGGATAACTTAATTCCCTGTTTTGGTTTTGGAGACGGTAACTGAGAAACATTCTTATGAAATTCATTCATCCCTTAGAATCTAATATAATGTCTCCAGGTGAGTTATATTGTGTTTGGGTTTCATATTGGCAGCTTCAACACATGACCAGGAAGTATTTAGTTTCTATTCTGATGAGAGATTTTGTCAAGGATTTGAAGAAGTGTTGGCACGGTACAGAGAATTGGTCCCTCAATTAAAGCTTGCAGGTATTGGAAATTGGAACATTGCTCAAATTTCATTTCCCCCTCTTCTTTCTGTATTTCCTATCAGCTCTTTGCTTATGTTATTTTTGCCCCTAACTCATGGCAGGACCAACATCATTTGCCCCAGTCATTGAGATGGCAATCACCATAGTGGAGCAAAGTGGAGGCCAATACCATGTCTTACTGATTATAGCAGATGGGCAGGTAGAGCATTATCTGAATTGAAATTAAAAAGTATTTACTGTCAAAATTTATCCCAAATTTTATTGATGGTTTTCCTTTATTTGGAGGGGTGGGGGGTTGAGGTGTTGAATATTTAGATCTTCTTGAAATACTACAATTACTTGACACTTGTTCATTTTTAAGTAACCAAGTGAATACAAACATTTGTGGTAGTCGGTCTGTGGTGGAGCGAGAGAATTTTATTTTAGGAGGGCTAAATCGAAAACTTAATTTGTTAAGGGAACTATGCTTTATCATGGAAAAAGAATTACATGTAAGTTTGTGTATCCCCTTGGCAAACTCTTCCTTCTGCCTCAGGTAGTAGTAACCCAAAAGCAATATATTTTCAGAACAAGGTTAGATTATTGGCTAATTGGATGCTTTCATAACTCAATTTTGATTTAAAATTGAAAACATTTTAGCACTTAATTGGATGCTTTTATCACTTATTGCAGGTGACAAGGAGTGTTGACACCGCAAACGGGCAGTTGAGTGCTCAAGAAAAGAATACTGTAGAAGCTATTGTGAAAGCTAGGTAATTGTCTTTCTGTGTCGCTTTATTCCTTCTTGGTAATCATATTTCTAAATTACTGTCATCACCAAACAAAAATGTCTTTATTGCCAGTGAATATCCCTTGTCAATAATATTAGTTGGAGTTGGAGATGGGCCGTGGGATATGATGAAAGAATTTGATGATAACATCCCTGCCCGTGTATTTGATAATTTCCAGGCAAGTATCTCCTGTTCAAATGTTCTCAGTTCTGCCACTTCTATATAGAGCACATTCTGTTTATGCTATTTAGTAATTATAAACTTGATTTTTATTTTTTGTTTTTTCTTTTGTAGTTTGTGAATTTCACAGAAATAATGTCAAAGAACATGGATCGATCCAGAAAGGAAGCAGAGTTTGCACTTGCTGCCTTGATGGAGATACCCTCCCAATATAAGGCAACTCTTGAGCTTAATCTATTGGGGTAGATAACGACCTTGAATTATTTTCTACTTAGGCTTTGCTGCATTGGTTTATGAAGCCATCTAAGGTGTATTATTTTTCAAACAGTGCTCATAGAGGGAAAGCTATAGACAGGATTCCTCTACCACCACCCCTTTATGGTGCAGCACCTTTCAACTCCCCAAAAACTTCACGTCAAAACAGTTTTCGTCCCAGTGCACCATCTCACAGACATGATGTTAGCGCAAATCCTCCAGCAACTTCTGCTTCTGATAATCAGGTACATCAATTCTTTGCTTTCTCTTGCTGCTGGTCTTTCTTTTAGTTTGCTATCACGAGAAATACTAGCATCAGACTTTTTGTTATTAGTAAAAATTTATTGAAAATAACAAAAATTATGTGAGCCTCATTCATCGTTTAATGAATCTCATTCATACTTTGGTATTTGTCAATAACTTTCAATAAATAATAGTGTTAGAAAGATTATGTTAAGAGTGTGCTCTTAGCACTGCTCTTATAATCACTGCAGTAGCATGTCTATGTTTCCTTGTCATGTAGGAAGTTTATTTTCTGGTTCACAGTGGCACTCAAGAGTAGAGACTTTAATATACATGATATAATGCAAAGTCAAACCATATAAAGTATAAACCATTCTGTTATGTAATCCTTGCAGTTTTGTCCCATTTGCCTCTCCAATCCTAAGGATATGGCCTTTGGTTGCGGGCATCAGGTTAGCTTTTTCCCCTAACATACATTAATGATGATTCAATGCTTATTATTTATGTGAATCATCTTTATTAATATGCAGACATGCTGTGAATGTGGACAAGATCTTGAGTTGTGCCCCATTTGCAGAAGTACCATTGATACTAGAATAAAGCTTTATTAGAAGATATCACTGAAAACTTGTTCATGGGTTTTCATGTTGAGGTATGAAACTGGGTTTTATGCAAATTTCTTGGTGATGAGGGAGGGCAGGTGGAAAAGGCTCCTCATTGTAAATACTTTTGGTATTTCATATATTCAAGTCAATGCTTTGAGCGCATTTTATGCTAGAATCGGGTTCTGCGTTGTTATATCATAATAATTGTGGCAATTCATCGATATAATAATGCTCCATGCTTCGTGATGTTAGCTTGTTTCATTATCATTTCCTATGTTTATTCACACGAGTTCAAATAAAACAATTACTTATTTTACCAGTTTCTTGAGATAGTTTTTGAAAAATAAACAATTATTTTTTCAAAAATAATCATATCCAAACATACACGTAGAATTAACATCCATACCATAAGTGATGTTTGTAAAACAACCTATGAAGCATGGACCTCTCTCTTTTTCAAAGTATAGCGGTGTTTGACACATTTCTGACACTAACATTTTTCAAATATTTGTGCGACCCATGTGGGAATATCCAGATGGCGTGAATGTTTTATTTGTTTTTGTTTTTCAACATAGTGTGAATGACATGAATGATGTGGTTTGCGGCTTTCGCAGCATGATCTGGTGAATTCCTAAGTAGTCCGTAGAATTTACTTGTCACGTGAACGTTTCATATGTGATCGTACTAATGTTGGGAACTGGAAGGAAGGCACATTTGTCTTCTTTTTATTTTTTTTGGCTTAGTTACACTTAGTTTCTTAGATATATGCAATTTTGATTCTTTTAGTTTTAATTGTTTTATTTAATATTTCAGTTTTATAATTCAAATTAAGTCTCTCATCTCACAATCTTATTTAATAATTAACAAAAAAAAAAATAGAAATATGATATATGGTTGATCTATCTAAATTAGTAAAGAAAAATTTATAAAATACTTGAAAACAAATAATAAATAAAATATATAAAATATTATTTTTATTTAGTTATTTTATATACTCTTTTTTTGAATTTGCAAAAACTAATGATATATTATATTTTTATTAATTATTTGAAAGAATTTTAGGAGAGACTTAATTTGAATAATTAAAAGATAAGTTTAATTTTGGTGTATTGTCAATGTAAATATTTTTACACTGTCAATTAAATAGAGTACACCATAGATATGATTTTTATATTAATTATAAAAGAAATTAAAGACTTGTTAATATGGCAATTTATGATTAGGTGACTATATAAAATATTTTATACTCTTAGTGTATTTAAATTAAATTTTAAAAGAATTATGATGACAAATAATAACTAAAGGAATTGAAATTATACATAAACTATCGAATGAAAATTTTATTTTATTTTTTAACAAGTGGAATCAATTTGGGATCAATTTTATTTTATTTTAATTTTTTGTCATTAAGGGAGGGGGAGGGGGAAGAAGATATGAAAAATTTTAAGATTCAGAATTCAAACTTGAATCATCTTGCAGGGCTTGTTCGGCTTCACCTTTGGGTTTGATTAAGTAAATAATTATTTACAGGGCTTGTTCGGCTTCAACTTTCAACCAATTTCGTACCTTCTCAATTAACTATTTGATTATTGATCAAAAAATAATAAATTAACTAACTGATCACATCTTTCTTTTGCGGTTTCTTAAGTTAGACACTCTTCTGGTCAAATGTCACTGCTAGAGTGATACAAATCTTTTAATTTAACCAATATAACTCTTAGGAATTTCAGTCAAATCTATGTAGAATATTGATATTGAAAGTGAAATTTAAAAGGGAAAAAAATGGTTATTAATTATGGCAATTTCATGTAAAAAAATTAGTTGTAACATACATTCTAAAATATTAGAAATATAACTTAAAGCTACCCCTTCTTTAATATACCCTTTATATTAAAAGAGCAATAACTTGAAAAAATAGTAATCACATCAACCAAAAGATTGTGATGTGGAACGATAAACAGGGAAGATAGTCACTTATATTGTTATCCACTGAATCGATTCTTGCATGAACCCGACTCAATTGGATCTAACAACGCACTGAAATGTTATCATATCAGCTTGAGTTGACTACAATTTAGCCAAATTGATTGCACCCTTTCAAGTGTGTGACTACTAGTAAGTCGGCTCCAAGCCAAACATAGTGCTAGAAAAGGACCCTCCCTAGCAATCTTATGACCATCACCTTCTGCTATATCACATGGCATATGAATACATGTGCTTCCTGTCTTGCAGTAAAATCATGTTCACTATCCTATTTTTCTTGGTTTGTTTTGGATTCAGTGATGGTGCCAATGTAAGATCCTCCCAGGGGAGGAAAGGGCAGTGGCAACTGCTACTTAACAGCACTGGTGTGGTTGGTATGCACATGGCTTTAACCTACAAAAACACTGTCATAATGTTTGATCAAACAGGAGCTGGCCAATCTAATTACCAACTTCACAAACGCTTCAATGGAAGCAGGTGCACCAGAAGCCACAATGATTTGTTGGACTCAACATGCTATGCTCACTCTGTTGAGTATGACATTAGTGCCAACAATGTGAGACCTTTGAGGCTTGACACTGACCCTTGGTGTTCCTCAGGTTCATTCCTAAGCAATGGAACAGTTTTACAAACAGGTGGGTATGGCAATGGTGCCAAAAGGGTCAGACTCTATAGGCCATGTGGGAATCACCAATGTGATTGGATACAAACAAAGAAAAGTCTATCTGATGAGAGGTGGTATGCTTCTAGTCAGATACTTCCAGAGCATGACAGGGTGGTGGTTGTTGGAGGAAGAAGAGTTTTCACTTATGAATTTGTACCAAAAATTAGTCCTGGAGAAAAATCTTTTGACCTTCCATTCTTGCACCAAACCAATGACAGGAATTTAGGAGGGAACAACCTCTATCCCTTCCTTCACCTTTCATCAGATGGCAACTTGTTCATTTTCGCCAATCGCGATTCCATCCTACTCAACTTGAGACGAAACAAAGTAATCAAGACCTTCCCCAGGATTCCAGAAAAAGGGTCAAGAAACTACCCCAGCTCTGGCTCATCTGTGTTACTTCCATTGGACCATAGAGATAACTTCAGAAAGGTAGAAGTTATGGTGTGTGGAGGTTCGGCCACTGGAGCAGTTAAAGCAGCTAGTAAACGAAGATTCTTGGAAGGTTTAAGATCATGTGGGAGAATGGTTATCACAGGGAACAATAACAAGTGGGATATGGAGTACATGCCCAAACCACGTCTCCTACATGACATGCTGATTCTCCCTACTGGTAACATTCTGATTATAAATGGAGCTAAACATGGGTGTGCAGGATATGACAATGCTAGAAATGCTTCTCTTGAACCTTATCTTTATAGTCCAAACAAAAGACTAGGAAAAAGGTTCACTGTCCTTAGGTCCACCAAGATAGCCAGAATGTATCACTCGTCAGCTACAATTCTTCATGATGGGAGGATCTTGGTTGCTGGTAGTAACCCTCATGGGAGGTACACTTTTCACAATGTGGCATACCCAACTGAACTCAGACTTCAAGCATTTGTTCCACACTACATGGACAAGAGGTACCATAACTTGAGGCCTAGTAACTTGACTATAGAATATGGTGGTGGCATTCACCATGCAATTGGGTATGGTAAAGAGTTTAGAGTTAGGTTCTTGTTGAGGAAGAGGCCTAGCAATGAGGTGGTGTTTAGTGCCTATGCCCCACCATTTACCACGCATTCCTTTGCCATGAACCAAAGGATGTTGAAGCTGAGGTGCAAGAGCTTGGTGAGAAGTGGTGGTGGGTGGGTGGTGGCAGTATTGGAAGCTCCACCATCACCCCATGTTGCACCTTCTGGTTATTACTTGCTCACTGTTGTGAATGGTGGAATTCCAAGCATGTCTCAGTGGGTTCAGTTTGCACACGCCTAGGCTTGTCTTTGTTCAATACTTCAATCTTTTCTGGGGATCATGCTTCAGATACTAGTTAATGAAGAAATTTTCTCATAGGGAAAACCCTCGAAGGAATGCTAATTTGTGTAATGGAAAAAGCTATAGTTAATTCTGCATGGATTAAAAGCTCTAGTTCACAATTGTATATGTCAACAAAATAATTTGAAAAGAGGAGTATACACAGTGGGGAATGGTACTTTTTTCTAGCACATTATTTCATAAGCTTATACCTTAATCCCCAAATCCTTACTAAATGAGGTGAAATATTCACACACCATGCATATATTCAATGCCAATAAAAGTTAGGAAGCACTTTAAACAAAGAGCTGTTTTAGATAGAAAAACGACCTTTAAATAACATTTAACTACCTTACCTCTCTCTGAAAAGTTAGCTCATTTACTTACTCTAAGTTTTGATATAATATTGAAACTTGGTCCCTTTAAGTTATAATATTGCAATTTAGTCGAAAACCACATATTAAGGTATGCTTCGCATTCTCAGCACTATCAAAACCTTGCTTGCTGAGAAGTTGTTGGGATCTCCTCCTTACAAATTGAATGGTAAAGTTCTGCCAGAAACTCTCGAATACACACTCACCAATACGACAGCGTCGTATTCAACAACTTATAGCTCTTCCTCATCGCAACAAAGCCATAAACAGGTTTGAAGAAGTGGCGTTTGAAGAGTTTTGGAATGTCGCAGTGAAGGAGGTGCAGAGAGAACCCATCGTGATTGGTGAAGACGAATCCACCGTTCAATATAAAAACTAAAATATATATTAATGGTTTGTATCATGGTAAATTCTTATGTACCCATAAAGTTTTTTATGGAGAAAATTTTTAATTAATAATATTTAAATGTGTTTAAATAATAAATTGTTATATTTATTGTATTTAAATAAGTTAAAGAATATTTCAGTTAAAATTAAATAAAATAAAATTTAAAATTAAAATAATAATATTATATTAATATTTTTTTTAATTTTATTATTATTAATATTTAATTATTAAATTAATATATTATTTAAATTTTTTTATTTATAATAAATATAAATTATTTAAATATAAATTATATTTTATTTAAAACTAAAAATTTATAAAAAATAAAATAAAAAATTTAATATACTATATATATGTATAATAAAACTATATAACAAATAATATAAATAATATAATTTTAAATAAATTATATATAATGATATTTTTTTAATTTCACACTTGTTTATTTTTTATTGATATAAATTTTTTGGATATAGTATCTATTAAAAAATTTTAAAGTACCGCAACACATTCATTTACATCACCGATAAGAAAATTCTTTACTTTCTTATTGTAAACTCCTATTTTACAATAATGTTAAAATTATTATATATTTATTTTTTCATTTAATAAAATATCAAATGAGTTAACACATTGTAAAATTTATTATTTTAAGTGATGACCTTTCTAGTATAATAACATATATACACATTTAAAATTTTCAAGATATAACTTTCAAATGATATGCTTTTCCTCCAATTTCAATAGTATAATTTTAGCATTGAGTTATTTTTCTCAAATTGTGATATATTTATTTCATGAATTTTATAATTATATTGTTAAGGAAAAATATATGATATTACGAATAAAAAACCTATTTTAGATAGAACAAGAACCTTTAAAAATACACTAAACTACCTTACTTTTTTATATAAAAATAATGTTAAAAATATTATATTTAATTTTTTTAAAAATAAAATATTAAATTAGTTGAAATTTAGTATTATAAACTATGACCTTTCTAGTGTAATAACATATATTCAAATTAAAATTTTCAAAATAATACTTTCAATAAATGTACTTTTCCTCCAATTTTAATCGTATATTTTACAATTAATAGAATTTTTATAACTAGTTATTATTAATGAAAAATATATGTTATTACAAAAAAAAAAAAACCATTTTAGATAGAAAATGTATTTTTAAAGAAACACTAAACAAATACAAATTACCTTTAAACTTAACCCAAAATAAAATACTACTCACCAAAAAAATTACCATTTTAAGTAACTCTAGAATACCTTGTATTAATACATAAAAGTAAAAGTTTAATTTTAGTACAATGTTACTATAAATACTTTTACACCATCAGCCAATTAGAATAAATTGTAATGTGATTTTTATTTAAATTATTAAAAAAATATTCCTATTAATATAATAAACTTTTATACTCTGAGTATATTAATATTAAGTTTTAAAAGTAGTGTTTAAAACATTATATTTAATTTTTATTTTATTTTAAAAATATTAATTAATTGTCACATAATAAATTTAAGATTTCATATTACAGGCAATAACTTTTTGACCCTAAGTTATAACACTTATGGATTGCCGGAGTATTTTTTTTTTTTCATATTTCAACATTCATTTTAACACATAAAATATGTTAAATAAATTATTATATATCATAAAAAATTACAAAAAATATATATATATATTTAATAATTAAAATTAAATTAAATTTTTATTAGAAATATAAAATTATTTTTAATAAAATTGAAACTTAATAAATATGATAAAAATGATTTATCAATTTTTTTATATTTAATATTTTTCATATAATATATGTGTATTTTGATCATGATAAAAATTCTGAAAATGATATTTTTATTGAGTTATGATTAAAAATAAAATATATCAAAGATAAATATATCAAGATATTTTCTTTAATACTTTATTAGAACCTATATTTTTAATGTAGCTGTACAATATCTGAGCTATTTAAAAAATATTTAGTAAATATTTTATAAATAATAATCACAAAATTATAAAAGCATGCATAATAATTATTAAATATAACATTTATTATCAAATTACAATCAATTTAATCAATTTTACATATAGATATTAGTAAATATATATATATATATATAATTAATATTTAAATGTTAAAATTAAAAAATAAATTAAAAATTATATTACATTTAATTTAGTTAGTTTAAAACAACTTTGTAAATAAAAATAATTAAAAATAAGAAAATTGAAAAAATAAAAAAAATATATAGATATATACACACGTGTGTGTATAATTTGCTATTTACGAAGCAATTTTATATTAACTGCACTGAAAATTAAAATCCATAATTTTACAATAGATATAAATATTATAATCATTTAATTTAAGTTGCTATTTTTATTTTTAGATTTATGTAAATAATTATAATTATAATTATACATACATATATATATATATATATATATATTGTTAATTTTAAATTGTTAAAATATAAAAAGTAAGTTTAGAATTATATTACATTGAATTTTTTTGTTAATAAAAATAATTAAAAAATATATGAATATTAATTTAAAATTACAACAATTGATAATATAATGTAATTATGCATTTTAATTTATTACATAGTTAATATATTATTTAATATTATAATGTAGGGTGTTTTTACACATATATGTGTATAATATTTTTGTCAATAAAAATAAGAATTATCAACAATTTTTTTGGACATAAGAGTGATAGCACTAACATTATTAGGGTTCATTGTTGTTTGTGCAAGCAATTTATCAGAATCTTAAGGCTGCATCTGATTCAATGAACTAGCCAATTGGTTAATATGATTTTCTAAGGTTTGAATAGTCCTTTTTGTTCTTCGTAGGAACTGTAAATTATTAACGGTCATCTATTTCATCAACTCTTCCAAGGTATGCTGGTCAGATTTGGGGTGCATTATGTTATTGTTGCACATGAGTGGACTGGAATTGATATTGCCTACTAGGTCCAACATTCTGCACACTAGAAAGTTATGGTTGTTGTTACTGTGCATTGTCCCATCTTAAGTTTCGATAATTTCTCCACCTTGAATTATATTTGTTTGAAAAGAGATTTCCAATTATTTTGTTGTTGCTATGAAGGTCTTTCGTTATATATATCTATAGCATAGGCTTGTGGATTGCCAAAATGAGAACCTTCTGTCTCGTCTCTTGTAATGTAGCGTAAGAATATATGGGGTTGTCAGAGTAAAAATACCACACAAATTTGCAGCGACTTGTGGAGGCTTTTGATTAATAGCTATTGCTTCATAATGGATGCAAGATTATCAAAATCTCTACCTCATTCACACCTCTTGTCATTAATGAATTGTTTTTAGTTGCAAACTATATATTGAGAAATCGAGTTCATGTTCTTAATCAAGTTCCATGCAACTTGTGGTGTCTTATTCATCAATCCTCTCCCTTGTTGCGGCAATCTTACTCCTATCTATTAGGCTCAATTCCTCATAGAAATATTAGATAAGTAGTTGATTACTCGCTTGGTGATGATCAGGGTAGCCTGAACACAATCTTTTAAATTTTTTTCGGTATTCGTAAAGTATTTTTCTATCCAAAAATGATCTCTTCAAGTTATTACAACTAGTAATAGATCTTAACTGCAAATAGTACAACCACTCCTCAGCTACACCAGTTAGAGAGAAAGGGAACACCTTATGTTTTACATGTCCTTCAAAAACTTTAGGCAACGTGATGGTAAAATAGATAATATAGAAGGTCTTCAAATGCTTATATGGGGTCTTCTCTTGCAAGACCATTAAACTTAAGTAATGAATTAATTCAGTTTTGAACACTATAGGAGTTTTGCATCAGGATATTGATTGCACAAATAGTGTTCTCATATTATTATCCATTATAAAATCAGCACCACTAATAATCTCATAATCAATAGGGTTAGAATCATAATAAGCAATATAACCACCAGTAGTAGGGAACAAAGCTTAATCAAATAACAAAAATATGCAAGAAAAAATGAAAATCAATCAAATAAACTATAATAGAAAAAGCGATTAAAAATTAACAAAAAATCAAAATTCAATTTATTTTTTATTTTCAAAATTAAAATTTTTTACTTAATCTAATCTACTTAATCCAATCCTAATAAAAAAACTAATCTAAATTTTTTAAAAGGTTTTGTTAACATCAGTCTTGATAGCTGAATTTAAATATTTACAAATAATTTTTTTTTATGAAAAAGTACATAGTTATCATATTGAAGTTATAAAAATACGATAAATACTTATCTTTTTAATAAAATTTTACTATTATTAACTGCTTATGGTTGAGAATAATAAAACTTTTTTTTTAAAAGCAAAACAAACTTTATCTAATCTAATTAAATCATAATTCTAATTTAAATTTAAATTTTTTTAATTATAAATTTTTAATTTAGTTTTTTTTAAGGAAAACAAACTTTATTTAATCTAATCTAATCAAATCATAATCCTAAATCTAATTATTTTTAAAAATATATAATCAATTCAAATCTAATCCTAATTACAAAATTCAAACTAACCTTAATTAACAAACTATGATCCAAATTTAGTCGAAGAACCAATGGTCCACTGTGTCAATTGTGTCCATTTGATCGATGTCGTACTTTGTCAAATAAAATTTAAATGCAGTAAACTAGGAGACAAACTTAAGTTATTCTATTGAGGACCTTGATTACAGATGCTAAAATTGAAATACTAAGCAGATTTTGAACGCAAACAATAAAGTAATTAAGAAATTAAAACACAAAAAAATTCAATAAATTAAAAGTGATTGACCTATGATTTTTATTTTACAAAACATATTTGGTTTCAAAATTAATCAATCAAATTCATGAATTCAATTTAAAGAACATGTCTCTAATCAATTCGATACAGTTGATTACAATTCAATTACGAAAGTTTGAACTACACAAACAAATATGTTAAGATCACACTAATAATGAATTCAATACGCATGAATTATCCAAAATAGTATTGACACAATTTGAGATCAAATTAAAAGTATTTGTAACAAAATTAAGAAGGTAAAAAATAAAGTTTCAAATTAAATTAAAAGAAAATGTTACCTATCACTTTCTAAGATCAAATTCATAGAATAATCTATGAAATTACTCTTCCATCAGTATTATAAACACAAACACAAGTTTAAGAACAATTATCATAAAAAAGTTAAAACAAATTTGCAAGAAGAAAATAAAAAAGAAAGAACTCAAATTAACTCAAAGTTAAAAAAATAACAAAAATGTAAAAAGGAAAAAATAAAAAAAAAAGTTTGTCTTTCAATTCCTCCTATTTTTTATAGAGGTTAACCGTAAAATAAACATAAATTAATAATTTCAAAAAGTAAAATAGGCCACAAAATCTAATTAGGCCCAAATACTAATAAAAAACTATTAATTGATACTTAATTATGGTAACATCATCGAGGGACAACTTCAAATGTTGTAAATTTTAGCTTAGAACTCTAAATTAAGTAAATGCATGATCAAACTAATAAGTAGATGTCAAAAATATTAAAATACAAGAATTATGTAAAAGTATCAATTAAAGCACAAATAGGCTTAAACAAATAAAACTAGTTTAAAACAATGAAGTAATAATAGAAATAGTGTCAATAGATAGTGATTAAAGATACTAAAGTGTCAATACAATATAATTTGTTATTGTGACAAACAAAATTAGTCATTAATGAGATTAGTTCATAATATTGTAACTAGTGACTAAACTACATTATTTTGGCTATATTAGTTATTCTGAGTGTCACTAAATGTGACATCTCACCAAAAATTAATATCATTGTGATAAAAAGTGTTAATTAATTTAAAGTATCTAATATTTAATAAAGTTATGGATTTATGATTTTTTTTAAATATTATAGTTTTTAAAGTGATGGTTTTTTTAAAAAAATATAAAAAATAAAAATAGTTTTAAAATTATCAATTTTAAAAAACATTAATTTTTAGAAAAAAAATATTAAATTTTTATATTTTTAAAAAAATAAAAAAAAAAAATTCGATTAAAAAATATAATTAAACTTATATCATTCTCCTCTCTCAATATTAAACATTTCATTTCTCCTTTCCTTCTTCCTTCTTCAAACTTTTCTTTTCCCTTCCCTTTCAAATATCTAAACAAAGTCTAAATTTATAGTAAAAAAGTTACACAATTAACCTAAACTTTTGATAAAAATAAGTTTTTAAGATTTTATTTTTTAATTTAAAATATTAGAAATGTCATGTGATTAATATTTAATAGGGATAGAATAATATTACTCTCTAGTTTCAAATATAAGCAAAATTTAAGTAAATTTACACTAGTTAATAAAATGGTTAAAATATCATTTATTTTAATTCAAAACTTAATTTTGTTAAATTTTTTTAATTTTAAGATATGACATCAAAAAAATTTTACAAGTTTAAAAATGAAAAGTAAAAATTTACTTAAAACAAATTTCTAAACTTTAAAGCTCTTTGCAGTAATTTTTTCACATTTCACCTTTACATTTAACATAAGAACTTAAATCATTGGCTAATGTCATTGATCTTTTAAGTTATTAATTTTTCTGTGCAATAAATATTTTAGAGAATATATTTAAAAAAATTATTTTTAAATAAATATAAGAAAATTAAATGAGATTAACTAATTTTTAATAACTATAATTAATTTTTATTATATTTGAGACTAAAGAAAGTAATTGTTGAGGATTTAATTAAAAGTTTATATATATATATATATATATATATATATATATAGATTGTTAATATATTTTTATATTATGAAATATTATCATAATTTATATAAATTAATAAATAAAATTAGAAAATAAAAAAATTAATATTTATCATATTATATATATATATATATATATATATATATTATAATTGTGTATTTTAATTTATAGTGTAGTTAATTTTATACATATAGACATTTTTAGTTCAAAATATTTTGGTCAATAAAAATAATAAAAAAGTTAATATATTTAAAATTAATTTATGTGAAATATATAATTGTGTATTTTAATATATTAATGTTATAATATAGTTAATATTTTATTTAATGCTATATTATTAATATAGTATAGTTAATTTTACCGATACAAATTAATTATGTAATTTATTATAATAAATATAAAATAACCCATTAAATTAATGTACAATTTTACTTAAATAATTTAAAGCAACACAATACTCATTCAATTATTCACACATGTATATGTGACAAAATAATTTTAATTAGCACTTTTTATTTTCTATTTACATAGAAGTATTAAATTGGTATAAAAGCTACACACAAATGTTAGAATAAAAAAATTTAAAAAATTGATTGAAAGATTTAGTGATTTTTTTTTTATCTATTTTAACTTACCAATTATTGAAACCTAAATGAGATTTTTTATTAGACCTTTTCTAACATATAAAAAAAAAAAATATATGAGATTTAATTATTAGTGTAAAAAAAATTATATAACAGTTTTTTATATCAGTTACTTAATTTATCTAATAAAAAATATAATGACATTTCTAAAAATAATTAAAAAAATTTAAGATCAGTAGTTAAATAATCGATGTAAAAAATATTTTTTAAATTATTAATTTTTGAACTATTGTAAAAGTTATTTTTAGATCTATTCTTCTACGATCAATATAAAATACAATTTAAATAGTAAGATTTCAAAACCAATAGTGAACAAGTTAAAAAATTCTTAAATAAAGTTTGAAAAATAACGAATCCTACTTACATTCTAAAGTTTTTGTCTTAAATTTTTGGTATCTCATTGAGAAACAGTAATAATATATCCGTTCACGTTTTTGACAAATATATTAAGCTTACATTATGTGTTTTATTATCTTTATTATGTATATCACCAATTTATGTATGAAGTTGAACTTTATTATTTGTTTTCGTTTTCTTGTAATTTCTGGGGTTGTGAGCCCTGGTTTTCATACCGGTGACTTAGCAAAGTTGTTAAGAAATTGAAACTTCCCCTTAATTTGTGTAAATAATTTACACTTTCTTAACCAATTATCTTTAATCAATATAAAAAAATTATTTTTTAACCTAAGTTATATAATTAATTTAAAATATTCACTTATTATATAAGCTATATCTATATCGGTTTATCGATTAAAATATTTATAATATTTAGTAAGTGATTTGCATGCTAGGCAATTATTTGTGTGTTGGGGGGATGGGAGAGGAAGAGAGAAATATTTTAGTAATTGCATTAAATTATCAGCCGCAGGGAATGTTATTGCGCAAAGCTGATTTCCTTTTTCCTCCTAATTTGGCTAATAAATGGTAAAATCAATTTATAATGGACACTTAAACCCCCAAAGAAATTTTTATAATGGACTTAATGACGATATTCTTAAATCTTATTTTATGATGTAGCTCTTTAAAAACAGAATCAAGATCAAATACATCAGTATTTTACATATAAAGGGACCCGAGCAAGAAAAAGATGAACATGATCACTACACAAGAAAATTCTAGTCTCTATAATCAGAATATCATATCAAGATTATTCTTGTGGGTAGTCAAATACCATCGATCGATCACTCTATTTTACTCTTCAAACCTAACTTGTGTGTTATATTGACAAAGGTTTCAATTGGAAGATGTCGATGGATGCAAGTGATTCCAACGCCACTGTGATCTTCGACACATCAAATTCCAAGTATTTGGTGCTCTTTGATAGACTAGCCATTGAAACAACTGTTACTGACAAAGCCAGCATAGCAGAGGAATGGGTTCAGCAAGTTCTGTCAACATATGTGGGAAAGCAAATGGTAATTGGGTTGGACACTGAATGGATGCGTGACCAAAACAAGAAGATGAAAGTTGCAATTTTGCAACTATGTGTTGAGGACAAATGTCTAATATTTCAAATGTTTCGGATGGATTATATTCCCCAGTCCCTAAGGAGTTTTATGGTGCACTCTGACTTCAAATTTGTTGGGGTTGGGATTTTGCAAGATATTAAAAGGCTTAACAATGAGTATGGCTTGGAATGCAATGAGGGCATAGACGTGTCCAAATTGGCAAAAACACAATGGCCTAATAGATTTTCTTCTCTGGGACTGAAAAATTTGGCAAAGGAGTTGGTGGGTCTTAATATGAAGAAGTCAAAGGAAGTGTGCACAAGTGAATGGCAATTAAGGGAGTTAACACTAGATCAAGTTGAATATGCCTGCATTGATGCCTATGCTTCTTACAAGATTGGTAAGAAGCTCCTCATTGAAAATGGAGTTTCCCCTACCCTTTTCAATTGAATTTTTTTCTCTGTTTGATCCATCTACCTGTTCATCTGTATGTTATATATTGCTTTGTGCTTTTTGCATTTTAATAAGCTAAATAACCAAACTGATGCTGCTTTGTGCTTTGTGTTTAATCATTCTGTATATGGACAAATGTTGATGCATCATTTATGTATTATTTTTCTGTTATCTTCTTCTGTGCTATTTGGCACACGGATTTGCGGTTTTAGCTTAATTGTTGGCTCTTCGTTAATTGATGAGTTAGTTTGTTATATTTTTGTTTATGACTTAGTCACAAATCAAATCCTGTTAGCTTTTTTTTTTTTTTTTTAACAAGTTGTTGTATTGACAAAATACTAAAACTAGTTTTTTTTTCATTAATCCCATGAAGGAATGTAAGTGGGTAAGTTTTGTTTCTTAATTTGTCTAACCTAAAACTAAGGTTAAAACTGTTTATTTATTTATAAAGACTTTCTTAAAGTTTAACTTATTTTTTAAAGTGTGATTAGTCTTAAAAAATTATTTAAAACTCCGACTTTATATTTTTTTTAAATGTTTAACTTAAAAGTCTATTTGAAAAACTTTACAATATACTAGCATGTTGTGCCTAAACTGCATGTGCATTATATAGCTATTTTAAATTTAAATAAAATTATAAATAAAAAAGGTTAAACAAAATAATATAGTTTTTATTTATAATATTCAATATAAATAAATTTAAAAGTAAAGCTTTTAAAATTATAAAATATTATTTCAATCAAGCTACATGATGTTTATTGATATGGAATATCAAGATTTAAAAGTTAAATTCAAATAGCATTGATTATGATTACAACAATCTTTGAATTCAAATAATCCAAACAAGAAAAAAAAAAAATCTTCTATCTAATATCGTTTATCAAAATTTAAATTTCAAATCAAATCAATATTAATATTAAGTAACAAAAGTATTTACCTTGGTACCTCACATTTTAAAGAATTTTGATACCATTTTTAAGAAATCAATAAAATTTAGACATTTATATTGTATTTATTATTCAAAATATGCCTTTTTATTTCTTTGTTTTAATTTTTATAACATTATTAAGAAATTTCCCAAGATTTATTACATTAAATTAAAAAGATTAAGTTTAAATATTTTAAAATTTTCCTTTTATCCGTTAAATCTTAGACAGGAATGTAATCTTTTTTCACCGTCATCTATGGATGCCGAATCTTTATATATAAAAATAAGGTAATATAACGCTCAAATTGAATGTATTTTGTAATTTATATTTTAATATGTTGTTAAATTTTTTCCATAGTATTTTTATTTAATTTAACTCCTAAAAAATATTTTTTAAGAATTAACTCAGAAATTATATAAACATAGATAAGTTAATTATTTAATAATTTATCACTTTAATCAATTTTTAATAATTACATTTATCTAATATTATTCTTTAATATTAGCTAATGATTTACGTTATATGTAAAATTGCTAAAATTATAATTATTTTATTCTAAATATTTTATTTTTCTTCTTATTTTTATTAATATCTTTTTTATATAAAATAACATAAACAATGATGTATACGGTCTTGAATCCTTTCTGCGCTGCGCACTCTCGGCAGCCAATCTCACGCTTTCAATTTTCATCCAAAAGTTGTAAAATTGATAATATTTTATTATTAACTAATAATATATTCAAGTTTAAGTAAAGTTTTAACCACAAATAGAGATATAAATAAGTTAGATTAAACTAAGTTTATAAGCTTTTTATTAAACTTAATTTTGCCTAAAAATATGTTTTTGTTTATTAACTTTTTTAACAACTTATTTGAGTTTATCTCAAAAGATATATCTTTACAAAAATTAAAAAGTTTATATTTAAATTAGCAATTAAAAAATATATCAATATCTTAAATATGTTAATAAAATTACATATTTTTATTTTATTAAAATACATACTTAAAGCAACATAAATAGAAATAAGTGTTACATGTATAAGATAGATTAAATAATAATAATAATATAAAAGACTCTAATAAATAAGACTTATTCAATTCATGGCTTTTGATTGGTTTATATTTTATTATTCTACTAATTGAAGGTGACATTAAAATCCTTTTAATTTAGAAACGAAAATACATCGCCGAATTGGTTCCTATAATTATTGTTCCCCATCTTTAACCTCTTTAGCTTCAAAGGACTTTTAAGTAGGGTGTTATTTAAATTAGCTAACCTTACCTTAGTTGTTATTTCAACAGAATCACTATAAAAAATAAATAAATAATTTTTATTTTTATTTTAAATTTTTTATTTTTATATTAATTTTTTATTGACTTTTTTGCATAAAAAACTTCTCTAAAAATTTATTCAAACTGAATTATTATATACTAATTATAAGAGAAGTTATATATATATATATATATATATATATATATATATATATGTTATAAATTTTTATAATTTTAAGAAAACAAAAAATATACAATTAATTTAGGTCCAGTATTAATAAGCAAGTGAACCAACTAATAAAATGTTGTTTTAACTAAATCTGCGATTTTTAATGAAGGATACCCGTGATTTAAATTACAAAATTAATTTATATCAAGTTTAGATAAATTTATCAATAAGTACTTATAAGAATAAAAAATTAAATAATAAAATATATTAAAATTCTCTAATAAATTAAAACTAATTTTATATTTTTTATAAATTCTTTCATTTAATTTCTTTAAAACATAAAAAAAATAAGTTATTTTAAACTTATAAAAAATTATTTATTTTTATATTATTTTTTATTTTTAAAAAGACTTATTTATAATTTCATCTAAATTGAGCGTAAAATAATAATAAGTAGCTTATATTTAACGAAAAAACGAACATATGTTCTCATATTTTAAAAATAACTGATGTTCATATATACATTTATAAAATTTAACTTTTTTATTATCTTTCAATTTTTACAGCATAGAGGCTGTGAAAAGATAAAAAGACCACAAATAAAAAATAACAATTTAATCATCAAATTTAATTTTAAAATATATAGTTAATAATGTAAAAACTATATGCATATTTAATTTTGATTATGTCATATTTTATAGTTCGTCAACAAACATCTTTATTAAATTAATAGAAAGAGGTCTCACAATTCCCTTTGATTGTGAAGTCATTTCTAAATAATTTATTATAAATTCATCGTTTCTTAAATTAATTTTTTGAAGAAGCTGACTCGTCTTTGGCATGGCACCGCGTCGGAAAATGCTGAGTTGTAAATGAATCAGCAGTTTGTATTTGCTCATAACTTTGTTACTTTTCTTGTTTATGCAAAGAAATAAAGTCAAAACCAGGTGCCTTGCCAATATCTGCAAAACTTTTAGTCAATATTCAAAAAAATAAAAACATTATTTTCACGCCTACTAAACACGTATTAAATAGGTAAAATACTAGAAAAATAAAAATTAAAAAAGTAAAAGTATAATTAACAATATACATTAAGCTTAAAAATATGTAAGAATATATATTTTTAATATATGTAAAGTAATACATAATTGAAGTGTACGTAATAAATTTTAAATAAATTATATTTTAAATTTCTACATATTAATATATATAAAATTTTAGTCTCCATATTTTTAATTGCTTATATTTATTTTTTAGTTTTTAAAATGCTCAAATTAAGTTTTGTATCTTAAAATTTATTGATTTATACAAATAAAAATAAAAATAAAAATATTTAAGTAAAAAGTTAATTTAAATATTAAAAAAAATGAGCAAATGAAATCAAGAGTATATAATTAAACGTACATCAAAAATGAAAAAAAAAGTGCTGTTAAAAATTAAATTTCTTACCGTATATGTAATTCAACACATGTTAAAAAAAATAAAAAATAAAATAAAAAACAGTATAGTTGTTAAACAGTAGAAGATTGTTCAGGCATGTCGGGACCCAGGTGCTAACGCGTAATAGAAAATGAGAAAAAACATCTATGAAATGGATAAAATTTTGTCATTGAACAAGTTGTCATCTTCATCATTCGTCAAGCTTCGACAATTTGTTAGTTACTACAAATTGCAAGAACCTCCTTCATCCAACTCTGCGTCTTCTTCACCATTGTTCTGTTCCATCTCCTATCTCATCCACTCCGTTGACCTTCAGTTACCAACATGACGATCACGGCGGTGCCAACGATAAAGGACGATTGCCTTATGGTGAGGGGCAAGGTGGTTTTGACCCGTGTGCCCCCAAACATTGTGCTTTCTACGGCTGGAACAGGCTCCGTTTTCTTGGGTGCAACTTCAACTGTTCAAAGTTCCCGTCATGTTTTCACTCTTGGCATTCTCCAGTGAGTCTATGATCTCTTTCCCTTTCCTCTTTCTTTCTTTTCCCCTGTAGAAACGTCTTTGACCTTGTTGGCTGTGACACGCGGGGAATCGAAGAAGAGATTATTTCTTAATTCTGCGTTTGTCTTTCTAATAATAAGCATCAAATAGGTTCCGAAAACAGACTCTAATTTAACATACCAAGAAGTTCAAGTTTTGTGACAAAATTACAATCTTTTTCTTTTACGCTATAACCATAAAATAAGTTGTCTAAAATGAGATAGACCCAAAGTTTACCATAATGGGTGATATTAAAATTTATGGGGAAAGAATTCATTCCTATATCACGCCTAAAGGTCATAAATTCTATTTATTTATTTATGCTGTTAATCAATACCTTATGAATGTTAGTTGAAAAGAATCAATGAATAGAAAATTCTTATTGAAAGTTAAGCTAGACGTGCATTGAAAATTATAGTAAAAATACATTTTATAATATTTTTTTTAATTCTTTAGAATTTTTCTTTATTTATTCAGTTTCGCTTTATTAAAAAGTGACATAAAAAAGCTGCAGCGAATTCAGTGAGAATTTTCATAGAAATTTATTTGTTTTTTAAATGCAGGGGATATAAGTTGGTGTCTCTGTTCAGAGTGAAGATATGGTGGATGATACCACGTGTAGGGAGATGTGCATGTGATATTCCCATGGAAACTCAGTTGCTGCTACTGGAAGCAAGAGAAGAGTGTGCCCTTGAGGATGAATTTTCTTCTGACTCTGAAGAACCAAATGCAGAGAACACTTGCTACATTCTCTTCTTGCCTGTTTTGGATGGACAGTTTCGCGCAACTTTGCAGGGAACTCCATCAAATGAGCTCCAGTTCTGCATTGAAAGTGGTTAGTGACTTAGTTCTTCCACTTTTGTTTTGCTTCATTTGTGAAGAAATAAATTTTTTTATTCCTATAAGAACCTCATATTTGTTGATCGTTAACTAAGACTTTTTATAGTTTTAGGAGTATGAATTATTCTTTTAGATATTTATCCTTCGTTATTGAATCTTTCCAAGTGTTTTTAACAATTAATATAATAATAAAGTTTAGCTTTAACTGGAAATAATCTTGAAATGCTGTAATTAATTTTTCAAAAACTAGTACTTTAATTATTTTTAACAACTTTTCTTAATACATGTGATTTAGTTGACAGATTCTTACAAAAAGGATCTAGGAGAGTATTCATTATCATCCTCAGTTCAGCTGTTTAATGGTAATATAGTAATATTATTTTTTATATTTTGAATGCTCCAGGAGACGCCCATGTCCAAACATCCCAATCACTCGAAGCGGTATTTGTAAATTCAGGGGATAATCCATTTGAGTTAATCAAGGATTCCATCAAGTATGTTTTTTGTTCTGTAGTGTTCTTATTCTGTGCCTGCTTTCATGTTAGCAGTGAGGACACATTACATTTTCAAGTATAATGACATAGGATATTGGAGAAACTCAAAGGAACATTCTGTCATCTTGAAAACAAGAAGATCCCATCACATCTTGATTGGTTTGGATGGTGCACTTGGGATGCTTTTTACACTGAAGTGAGTCCACAAGGAATAAGAGTGTCTTCAAAGGTACACTACATATAACTATATTGTCAAGTAACTTCACTTACGTGAAGGATAGCTTTCAAAATTTTGAAGGTGTCAATGAAAATGACCATTTTGCCTTTTATTAAACAGTCTCTCAAATGGAGGTTGTTCACCAAAGTTCATCATCATTGATGATGGATGGCAAGAGACACTCAATGAGTTTCACAAAGATGGTGAACCAATAATTGAAGGAACTCAGTAAGTCTCTTTTTTCAATTTGAGGCCACAAATTTTTTCCCTCCATTTCTCAGTCATTAACATGCTCAAATTTTCCGTTACTATTAGATTCGCAACCAGACTGGTAGACATTAAAGAAAACAAAAAGTTCACTAATGCAGGCTCTGGACATTCTTGCAACAATCTCCGCGATTTTGTTGACTCTATCAAACAGAATTTGAGTGTAAAGTAAGCTTTCTGATTAAAATAATGATTATAATTACCTATTATAATTATCTATCACACCAAGACTCACAGTAACTGAAGAACTCACAATTTGTATAATTCTGCACTCTCCAGATATGTTTACATGTGGCATGCTTTAGCTGGTTATTGGGGAGGAGTACTCCCCTCATCAGATGCAATGAAGAAATATAATCCAAAGCTTGTATATCCAATTCAATCACCTAGCACTACAGGGAACCTTAGAGATATAGCCATGGACAGCTTGGAAAAATATGGAGTGGGAATCATAGACCCACAAAAGCTCTACGACTTTTACAATGACTATCACAGTTATCTTGCTAGCTGTGGCATTGATGGAGTTAAAGTAGATGTCCAAAATTTAATAGAAACCTTAGGTTCTGGGTATGGTGGACGTGTTTCATTGACCAAGCGGTATCAAGAAGCATTAGAGCAATCTGTAGCAAGGAACTTTACGGACAACAATCTCATTTGCTGCATGTCCCACAACTCTGATTCAATTTACAGGTTTGACTTCTTTCTAATTTGAAGTTAATGCCAATTACTATCTAAAATTTTCTTCAGATCCCTTTTCTGATAAGTTGTTTCTTTTTTCATTCTCAATTGTCAGCTCAAAGAAGAGTGCAGTAGCAAGAGCATCTGAGGACTTCATGCCAAGAGAACCAACATTTCAAACCCTACACATTGCCTCTGTAGCTTTTAATAGTCTTCTTCTGGGGGAGATATTTGTGCCAGACTGGGACATGTTCCATGTAATATTCCTGTCTCTTTACTTGTCCGAATCTTTCACGTGTGACAATGTTAATGAGTTGCTTGATATGATTTTTAAATGGTTCTATTTCAGAGCAAGCATGAGACAGCTGAGTTCCATGCTGCAGCAAGAGCAATAGGTGGTTGTGCAGTATATGTTAGGTAAAGCACCAAAACAAATAGAGTTCTTAGTCTCCCTAGTTTCCCTTTAAAAAACAATTCCATGTTCTTTAATAAAGGAAGAAATTTCTTTTACCAAACTTCGATACATTACAGTGATAAGCCTGGGAATCATGATTTTAAAATCCTCAAGAAGCTAGTGCTATCTGATGGATCAGTATTGAGAGCAAGATATGCTGGCCGTCCTACTCGAGATTGTTTATTTAAAGACCCCGTGATGGATGGTAAAAGGTCAGTTAATAAGATGTTACTGTCTTTATCTAAGAATGGCCGGAATTTTCTTATTAGTTTTCACTTTTTAGTACATAACCATATTATATTATTATGGACTATTTTTCAGTCTGCTGAAAATTTGGAACATGAATATTCTAACTGGGGTCATAGGCGTCTTCAATTGCCAAGGAGCAGGAAGCTGGCCATTGAAATCATTGAAATCTGCACCCTCTCACATCACCATTTCAGGGAAAGTGAGACCCCTTGATGTAGAATTTCTTCAAGAGGTTGCAGGAGAAAACTGGAATGGAGATTGCGTAGTATATGCCTTCAATGCAGGTTCAAATTCTTCAACATAACAATTTCTTTTACGCTAGCCTTTTAGATCCTAAGTTACATACACAGTAACGCATACATTTCTCTAGAATTACCAAAACCAACTAGTGTGCAATACTGCAGGCTTGCTTTCTAAATTGTCAAGCAGAGGGAAACTAGAAGTGTCCCTGGAGACTCTCCAATGTGAAATATATACCGTGTCTCCAATCAGAGTCAGTATGCTTACATTGCAGTCTGCATTTTATGAAAAACCATTTTTACTAATACTAAGTCTAACGTGGAAAAATGTTAACATGTGTCTAAACAGGTGTTTGGTCACGATGTGCAATTTGCACCAATAGGATTGCTTGACATGTACAATTCAGGAGGAGCTGTAGAAGCTCTGGACTGCACCATGGATGTTTCACAGTGCATAATAAAAACCAAAGGCAGAGGATGTGGTCGTTTTGGTGTGTACTCCAACGTTAGACCCAAACGTTGCGTTGTGGACATGAAGGAGGAGGAGTTCTCCTACAACCTTGAAGATGGACTGTTAACAATTAAACTTGGTAGTGGAGACAATTCAAGGGACGTGGAACTTGTATACTGACTGAGGTAGCTGTGTGGACTCAAAAGTGAATCTAATCCGATTCTTCAATGTTGTCTGTTAATTAACTAACCCCAACAGTAAGCATATAAAGATTCCATTTTATTGTAACAAAAGAAAAAGGAAATTTTAAAATTTGAAGTTTAGTGGTGTAAATATTTTTGCACCATTTATAATAATATTAAAGTTTTCCGCCGAATCTATCTGTTATCTTCTTAAATAAAAAAATATTTTTTTAAAAAATATTTCAATAATATAAATATAGGCTCGTTAGTCCATTTAGAGGTATGTTTATAGTTTTATTTGATAAGATATACTCAGGGCCGTCTTAAACTTTTTGGAAGCCTTATTCTAATCATGAAAACTGGATTCCTCTATTCCTAATTTTTGGAGAGAGGATGACAAAAATTATGAAAGCCTGAGAAATAACCCATAATTGAATGAGAATTGTAGATAAAATTATGAAAAATATCTTAAAGATGGAAACTTGGAGAGTTGATTTTCCGAATTGATTGTGGCGTGAATTCTTAGGAAGATCAAATGTGGAGATAGAGAGAAATACATGGCACTCAGTATCCAAAATTGCTTTTTAATAATTAAGAGAAAAAAAAAATAAAACAATTTTGGTAACCTTGTATATTTGGAGGCCCTGTGCAGAGGATTAGCTGGCCCTAGTTGATCTACGACCTTGGATATACTTCAAAAATAAGTTTTTAAATAAATTTAGCCAGGCCTTAAAACAACACTTATATAAGATAAAAAAAAAAGACATACTTAAACCTTCAATTTAAAAAGCAAGTTAAATTTCAGTTAATAAAATTTAATCCGCTTCAACCTAACAACTTTTCATCCCTATAATAACTTTGATTTGAAAGTTGATTGATATTATTATATGTTCAACCTAATCACTTTTCATTCCTATAATAGCTCTGGTTTGGGTGTCTATACTACCCACCATATACAACTGAAGCATGCACACATGGAGAAATTAAAAAGAGCACAACATAATGAAGTCCAAAATTTCATTTTCACTTCACTTTACTTCCCTCTGGGCACAACACTTCTCCATCTTCTTCACTTTACTCTTACTTACATCATCCTTTGTTTCCTTCTACTCTCTTTAAGTATTGAAGTTTCTCCACCCTAAATTAGCTTCTTCCACCATTACTTTTACCTTTCTCGGTTTGCAAAATTCTTAACTTGTGCCAACCACTATTAGTGCCTTTAAGCTCATAAGTTATGTGTAGCTCACTCTCTCCCTCACTATGTTGTTATAGCCATAAGCTCTCTCACAATTGCTCACGGTTAGTGCCTATCTTTGTCAAACCCCTCTTTCGAATTGTGTTTTATTAGTTTTTCATTTTGTGTTGTCATCAACAATGTTGTGTTTGTCGTATTTTGGATTGTTCTTCTTAGATTACGTGTGAGTTCTTTTCTTAGTGAGTGATTATGTTTTAGCATCTCTATTTTATTTTGCATTAGATTGTGTGGTTTATTTTGTTTGAATTTTCATCCCACTATTTTTTTCTACATTATATTTGTTGTTCTAGGTTTATTGCTAAAATTGTCTTGGACTTAGTTCTAAATGTGCTTGTCCAGTATGACGGATATATTTTTATCAATAATGTTCTGGCTTAATTTGAAGGTAATTATCCTTCACTTGATGCTTTGCCAATGTCGATTCCAAAAGATAACTTTGACTTTAGTGTTATTTAGGAATAGTTATTGTTTCCAAAAGATTTTTGAATAATTTGATATGTCATGTAATTTGAGTATGTAGGATCTATTATCAAGTTCGGTTTGTGTTAAGGTTTTTTTTAGATCTTGTTTAAGAGTTATCTCTTACAACGTAACCAAAAAACATTTGAGTCAAGTTATTACATATGCAGGGAGGACTAGTACCTCATATGCCTTCACCATGTGCAACTTAATATAATGAAGTTCTCTCATATCTTTAATTACAAAAATTAAAAATTGTACTTTCTCTTTGTCTCTCAAAAAAGAGTTTTCTTTATCTTAACTTCAATGTCATTATATATAGTTGCAAGTAATAGGATGCAAGTCGCTTTATACATAGCCATGTGTATATACAATAACATTATTATTGTTTATATTTGTCTTGTGTTTTGTATATTTGATGATATTTTTTCATATCTTCAAATGAATAATACTCTTTTTTCCCATATTTGTAATGAAAAAAATGTTTAGAGGTTACATTTAATATTTCATAGAGTAGAATATTATAGCTACTAAGACTAGTTTGTTTTAATTGACATATGTAAGTATATAAATGTATTGACTCATTTGTAATCTAGCGTATACTGAAGTGCCTACCATGAGTATGTGTAAGATAATGCTCTTTTGCATTTTGAGTGAGTGTACAATTAAAAAGTTTAAGAACCTCCACATGTATCAGCAAATTTATAAAGTTACTAAATTTCTGATAAGAAATTACTTTCGTGTGTTACCAATTGTGTGATTTTTAATTACAAGAACTTGACCTAGTAAATAAAGATAGAGCTTTTAGAAGCTTTACAGCCTAAAAAAAATCATTTGAATGGTAACAATTGAAAATTAGAACAATTAGCAAAATTACCAATAAATTTAAAAAATTTACAACAAGTTTATGAGATTTGGGCTGGTTAATTTCTTTTAAATTTGTTTGTGTGTGAATTATTTGTGCATTTATTATGTCACCAACATTATCTAATTTTCTTAAGGTGGTTTTGTAAGTTTCTTTTCTTTTCTTTTTTTCTATTTTGTGCAAGTGGTTAGTTTTCTAATTAAAGTATATGGAGGTGGAAAGGTATATGAAGAAGGAATCAATCAACCATAACATTGAAAAGGTTGTTGAGCCCATTATTGAGGTTGATAGTCTCAATGATAGCTTTGACATAATTGAATCAATTATTGGAATAGAGTTTGAATCAATAGAAGCTATTAAAATATTCTACAAGTAATTAATTAAAATGAGTTTTGAATGGAAGATCATAAATTTAAAAAATAGATTGGATGGAGAGGTGAATTATTTGATTCTTGAATGCATATAATAAAAAGATGTTTGTCAAATGTACCAACAACTTTGAAGACACTTTTCACCATAGTTGCCAAACGTGAAGCAAAGATTATGGAAAAAGAAAGGAAGACGTGGAAAATGGTCTATAAAAATAGTTGCTCTTGATCATTCTTATGAAGTTAGTCTTTCGAAGGCAAGAATGTTTAAGAAAAACAAGAATGTTAACATGCATGTGAGAAGAACAATTGAATTACATGATAAGGTATGGTAAGGATAAATAAGATCCCAACAATAGGCTCCAATTATACTTTCCTACATTGTGTATATCAACAATAGATCCCAACAACTTTGCTTAGGGCACAATCTTTAAGGTTGGACACAAGAAACATGACAACATACAAGATAAATGATCTTCTAAAATGGTCATTGATTTTGTCTTGGCCAATAATCAAGCTTAACTGGACATTTGTTATTCCATTGAATCCCTTAATATTTCCCTTTGATTTGTTGTGACATATTCTAGAATGTCCAATACTATTTTATCTGAATTATCAAAATTTTCACATGCAAATACAAAAAATTGATTGACAACTAATACTTAAGAATATTTATAAAAATCATGAAATGAAGTGGAATCATGACATAAGACAGAACATTTCTTCAAACTTTGACAAATATAGTTGAGTCTTATGCTAATTGTAATGTTCCAAATTTTGTAATAATATTTTAATATGTTAATATAAGTGTATATGTGTATTTTTCATGTGTTTGTATACTTGATTTACGTATATGATGATGTGCATATATGTGTATGATGTGGACATGTATAATGTGTGAATATGGTTGTGAAGATGTCTGTATATTGTGGTTGAAATGTAATGTGGATTGTGGCTGGGCTGGAGTTGATTGAATATACATATATATATGCAGGTTGAATATGGGTATTGCAGGGTATTCTCACTGTAACGAGAGCGAAAAGGCCATGAGCATAAGACATGAAACTGTGTCATTCTCGTTGTAGCGAGAAAGTACTGAGGGTTTGGAAAAATCATTTTTCCACTTCTCACTTTGAGTCCTCTCTCATTTCTCTAGTTTCTGAAGTCATTCTTATCAATTAAATTGTCTCCAAAGCCATTTGAGAGTAAGATTGAAGATTAAAAACAAGTTTGGGGCGTTTGGAGTTAGGGTTTTTGGATTTCATCCCCTTTCTTTGATTTCTTGGTTTCTCATGAGATTTTTCCTATATTTAGGACGAAATCCGTGTAGGGCACACTTCTATTGTTAATCTACATTGTGAGTCTTCGATTTGAGGTAAGGAGGGACTCTATCCTATCTCGTTGCATTTGAATTTGTTATTCTGCTATGTATTGCTATGTGAATGGCTGGGAATATGTGTGTTTTACTATAATTGATCTGATTGTAGTGAGATTGTGGTAAAATAGTTGTATAGAGCATAGTGTGATTGATGTTGAGTGTAATGTAATAGTTGTAATGGGTGGGTGTTTTGTGTGTGATTAAATGAATGAATGTAGGAACATTGTGATGAAAATTGTGTGACTAAATATTATGTGGTGAAATATGGATGTTTGTACCTTCAATTGAGGATGAATAATATGAGATGATGGAAAGAGTGTGTGATGGCATATTGAATGTAAATGTAGTTATGTTTGAATGTGTTGAAATACCATGAATGGTTCAGCGATACCCTATGAGTGTAGAAGATGAGGTGGTAGAAATACCTAGAGGAAGAGAGAATGGAGGTGACACTAACAGTGAGTGTGGGTATACCACAGGTATATTTAGTCACACCATCTTATCAAATCTTGTACAGTCTACATTATGAAATTTATTTATTTAGAAAATTAAATTATGATGTTACACTAATTAATGTATACAAGGTAGTTGAAGAGTAAGCAAAATATAGATAATTGAAATACCATCTTGTAGTAGGCCAAACGCTTTGTCTATATTGTGATAGCGAAGTCAAATCTCCTCTCTCTTAGTATATATGCAGAGTTGTCATAAATTAAAATAGTTTACCAGTTTTAAGTACACCATCTTATCAAATCTTGTACAGTCTATATGAAAAAGTCATTCAAATCCCATTTGTATGATAGTGTCTCGTTACTCTTGTGTCAAGATTTTACAAATTGTTTAAAAATGATTCAGTGAGCACCGATTAGAGAATACAACTTGTATACATACATTCCAATTAATGATATAAGGGAGGAAAAGTTTGATGGATACATACCTTATTAGATTTTAATGATCAAGAGCTTCAATGATGGAAAGTGGAACTTGACCTTCAACGTAGAAACACGACCATAAGCTTGAGAGAGAGAAATCGAGAGTATGCAACCTTTAAAGAATAATTTTAGGGAAGAGAGATAATTTTCAGTTAATTTAAAAGAATGTGTGTTTGACAAGCTTGAAAGTAAATAATATTTGAGAGAAAAAAATAAATGAGTCTCAAAGATTAAAAAGAGAAACAAAAGTGGAGAGGAAATGATGTAAAGTATAAAAATTTTGGGATCCATTATGATTTTTATTTTATTTTCTTGCGTATCAAATGAAATGTTAAAATAATGTATAAGATATGAACTATGATGGAAAGAGGCAACTACCCAAGATATCGCAGCACGACAATATATGGTCATGTATAATTAAAAGCATGACTATGTGTTTTCTATTTCCACGTATTTCTTTCGCTTTTCTCTTGTATTTTAATATAAAAAGAAAGAGATTGGGGAAAAATATTGGACCAAGTGAATTAAGATTTGTTGTGTTTTGGAAAAGAGGTCCTAAATAGTCGAAATAGTGCGAGAAAGCCCATGTGAAAAGCCCATATCTGTAGAAAATACGTTTTTGGTTTAGGATATTTTTTGCAGCAAAACCCTTCCAAGTTCCATCCCTTCCCCCTTATCCATATTCTGGTTAATCACTTCTTCCTCTGCTCTTGGGACATGTCTATCACTGCCACTACCTTCAAGTCCCTTACAATGGCCGAATCGTGCCTTCTCTCTTCTCACTCCTCACTCCTTTACAACAAACCCAAACCCCTCTTTTTCTCTCTTCCATCAAAACCCCTCACACTCCACTTCTCATGCCTCCACTCTTCCCCTTCACTCTCTCTCACCCTCGCCTCCCGAACCCAACGTTCTCCCGTCCTCTCGCTCGTGGCCCAAACTTCAGACTGGGCCCAACAACAAGAAGAAGAGGAAGGTGTCACTGAAACCGAAGCGGGCCTTTCCGATTGGCAGCCCAACGGCGAAGACGCTGAAATCGAAGGCAGCGTAGAAGAAGATGGTGAAGACGAAGAAGAAGGTTTCGTCGAACCGCCAGAAGATGCAAAACTCTACGTTGGAAACTTGCCTTACGATGTTGATAGCCAGAAATTAGCCATGCTTTTCGAGCAAGCCGGAACCGTTGAGATTGCCGAGGTGAGAAACGCTATTTACCGTTTCAATCTCAATTGTTGTCTTCTTGTTGGGTTAGGTTTGAAATGATTTTGTGCTGGTTCTTTCTCTGTCGTTTTAGGTTATTTATAATAGGGAAACGGACCAGAGTCGTGGATTTGGATTTGTAACCATGAGTACAGTTGAAGAAGCTGAGAAGGCTGCGGAGAAATTCAACCGCTATGTAAGTTCGTTTAGCTTCTTTTTTTTATTGTGATGTTAAGAGTTAGCTTGGGATTGGAATTTGGGGGTGAAAGTTTTGATTTGATTTCCACGTTGAATTCCATATGCTACAAACTTGTTCTTAATATGGTTGTCAATTAACAAATGAGGTTATGAACTTGCTGTTTTTTGTCGTGGCTTGTGAGTGAATTCTTGTTTTGTGTTTAACTATGCTGGAGTGTGTTATTTCTGTGACTGTTGAGAAGGGCTGAAAGTATGGTGAAATTTTGAACTAGTAAACGTGTCTTGGAAAAATGGGGAAAAAGAGAATGGTTGGTGTTACCAGTTGATATTCACTTAAGCTTAATGTTTGTAACATGGTGTAAATACACATGTACGGGGTTGTCATACATTTACAGTTGCATGCTAGTTGAACTTTCTATGAATCAAGGTTGTCAAAATCAAGTTTCAAGGTTGGAACAGAAAGAAGTTCTTGGATTGGTGGACCGCAACATGAATTGTAAGAGTCAACTAAAATTCAGAATTATATTCAAATACATATCTATATGCATAAAAAATAATGTAGATAAAATATAAATAACTCTTAAATCACACCAAACATTTAATTATACTTAAACTAAAGATTCATAAGGTCTTATACAACCCAAAAGTCATAAGTCACGAGTTCTGATCCCGTTAAAACTAAAGCAACGCATAAGTATTAAGCAACATGCAAAATCAAGCATAAACTAAAATAGTTAAATTCTAAACATCTAAAGCAAGCCAACAAGAGAGAACTGGAAAATCATGCTAAGTTGAACATGCATCAACAACCAGAGAAGTGAAGAACAACCAGAAACCTTGAACCAGACACAAGGTTGGATATTTTGTGAGAGGTCGAGTGTGAGGGAGAGGGGTCTGCAAGTAGAATCACAGTGGTACGGAGAGAGGGAACAAAGAGGTGTTGCTGGATAACAAAATCACACAGAGAGGGAAAAGAGAGGATATAGATTCAGGTAAAGAGGCTGTGAGATTTTAAAAGGGACTCAAAAATGGTATTTTTTAAAAAGCTGGTCAAGTGACCCTACCTGCTCTCATGCGAGTTATGACTCATTTTGGAGTGCTGCTCCAGTCTGATTCAATGAGTTGGCACGCTACTCCATGTCAGCCAGGTAAGTACTCCACAGTGGCTCCACGACATGCAGGTGTTGAAAAAACTTATTGGACTGGATGATTCAATGCACCAACGTGCAACTTTAACATCTTGGTATGGATACAAGACAAGGTTTCAATACAGCTCATGCATGCACATGGGATAAAACATAACACAATGACAATTAAAGGACAGGATTCTGCTAGGATACACATGTGAAATTCTTAAGACTGCATCATAACAAAAACCTTAAATTTAATAAGAGATATCAATGTTCTGCAAGCCAACACGTTATATACATGTTATATTATTTGTCCAATTATTGTGGCATTCCATCCATATTAGTAGAGAAACTCAAAAAATAATAAAAATAAAAGTAAGCTAGGTGAATATGGGAATGTGGAAATGTCCATACTTCCTAGTTCCCAATCCTACCCTTACACTTCACACGATATGGGAACATGGAAATGTCCATCAACATATCAACAAGTCTTTTTGTTGGTTTCTTGTAGACTGCATTAGTTAATCTGTTTGGGTATTCTTCAAATATTAAATTGCATCTCTGGACTGGACCTGCAACACTTCATGTGTGTCATTTTATCCCATTAAGATGAATAGATGCCACTCCAACTAATGTGTGAGCAGTGCAGACGGCTTAACTTGTACTATCTAGATGCGGTGGTTTGTGCCTATGACATTTTGATACCTCCTTACAAAATATAATTACAACTTAAAATTGAGAGCACCAACCCATATTACTATTTGTAAGATTTTTGTATGCAAGTCTCCGACTTGATGTTTTCCTGAATGAAATAAAATAGAACCTTTATAAGTTTGTTCGTGTTAGATTTATTATTACTGTGGAAGCTTTTTTGCATTTGCAAAGGAGTTTTCAGTTTGCCTTTTTCTTCCTTTAATACAATTCAAATTTATCTTATATGTGATTCACATGTAAAAGCATGAGTGTATTGTCATTAATATTTCTTTGTAATTGCCTTTCTTGTGTGATTTTTTGTACTTTTGGATCTTATTCATATTTTCCCTGACAGGACTATGATGGAAGATTGTTGACTGTTAATAAGGCTTCTCCTAGAGGATCTCGACCGGAACGCCCACCGCGCACTTTTGAGCCTTCCTTTGCAATTTATGTTGGTAATTTGCCATGGAATGTTGATAATTCCCAGCTGGAGCAAATTTTCAGTGACCATGGCAAGGTTTTGAATGCTCGGATAGTCTATGACAGAGACAGTGGTCGATCACGTGGCTTTGGCTTTGTCACAATGTCTGATGAGAAGGAAATGAATGATGCTGTTGCTGCTCTTGACGGTCAGGTATAACTTAAGTTCTTTATTAAATTATCAATGGTTACATGCATTGATAATGAAATGGGCTGAAAGGGAACAGGATTCTTATGGACTCATGTTCATGAGGAAACTGGTTTGAGCTCAAACAGTACCGCATTTAAAATTGCCTCTTGTTGTGTGTGTGCTGAGGGCAGAGTGAAACAATATATCAAAATTGACTACTTGTACGGTTTATTTTTGGTTGATTTTCTGATATGGTGGTTTTGCTATTTCAGAATTTGGACGGGAGGGCGATTAAGGTGAGTGTTGCTGAAAAGCCCAGGCGTGGCTCCTTTTGAATGGTACCTAAAGTAATCCCCCACGTCAGGTGCTAGAGTTCTCTATTTTTCCTTTTTAATAGATGAGGATATAATGCCGATTTTTCTTTAAAGCAATTTCCTTCTTGGTCCTTCAGTTTCAGATTAGATTTATGTACTTTACTGTTATAACTTATAAATTTATTATGTTCAGTAGAAAAGTAAGTTGTAATTCCGACTCCCGAGACTTTGAGGAAAGTCTACATTGTTGCGTTTTCTGTTGGGTTATTTATTATTATTTACGGAATGAAAAAGAAAAGAACAAAAAAAACAGAGGAAAGTGGGATGTTCTGCCGAAACTATTGTAGAGTTGGTTTGCTTTTAAATTCTTTGGTCAACTAGAGTTGGTTTGTTTGATTGTATTTGAAATCCCGTTTTGTTAAATAAGAGAACGAAGTATAATAATTTTTTTAAATCTTATTTATGACGTTTCTTGAATCCACAAGATATACTTTGATCTTACGGTCTTATATTATCTTTCTCTTCAATGTTTTAGCCCCTTTAATTTGAGTAAATTTGTTTTTCAATCAATTTTTAACTTCTAACTTTCAATTCTTAACCTTTTTTTTTCATTATTTGGACGAGATGTATTAGATTTGGAACATTAAATAATTTTAACGGTTCAAAAGTAAAATAAATAAATAAATAATAATGCATAATTAATAAAATGTAAAGAATTTTATAAGACGCGAGCTTAGAGTTTGATGAGAATGAATTTTATGGTTCTTAAAAATTTAGGTTTTGTTTGGAAGATTAGAGGGATATGGTTTAAAAAAATGGTTTGAAAGGTAATGGAGGAAGGAAATTATTGTAAAATCTTCTGAATTAGAGGAATTTAAAAATACGAGAGTAGGAAAGTTTATAAACTTTTTTTTTTCATCTATAAATTTTTAAATATCATTAAACATTACATGAATTTTTTATTTCTCTTCAAAAATCAACTTTCGAATTAAGTAAAATTTGATATTTAATTGGTTAACTTTGAATATATTACAATTTAATTTGTAAATATTTTGAATAAAAAATAGAATTTAGGAGTTTTAAGTAGAAGAAAATTAATGGAGGATTAAATATAATTAATAAAAAATAGAAGAATTTAATTAACATGAAGAAATGTGAGTCCAAATTCATATAGTTTAAAGTAGAGAAATAAAAATGCAATTAATCTTGGAGGGTGAGACTAAAAATAAAAGATCATAAAATAAGAATATATCATTCACTTTCTATTATTACTTATCATATCTAAATAATATAGGCCCTAAAATTCAGTTGGATAAATAGCATATTATTTCTAAAGCCAAAGCCACTTGGCATATAATTCTGTTCAGTTGAATCTTACGTGTTTTGATGTTAAACGAAATTATTTTTAAGAGTAATATTAAATAGGAGTATTTTTAAAAACTATATTTTCAATTATGTCATGATTTTTTTTACCTTGAGTATTTAATTTAATTTTAACTTTAAATTTTTAATTTATTTCTTCATTTAAAATTTTATTTCACTTTTTAAATTTACTTAATTAAAAAATTTATTTGTTATATTTTAAATTTTATTTTAAAAATTAATTTTAATGAAATTTTATGAGTAATTTTATTCTTGTGAAAAACTAATGATGGAGTTGGCATTGAGTCAGGCTAACCAGCTGGTCCTTTTTTGAAAAAATAATAATTTAATTTATTCTTTTAACATTTTTTTGTCAATATTTATTTTAACTTAAATGTATTAAATTAGATTGGGCTTTAGGTTTGTAATTTTTCGGAAAGTTAGACTTCTCATTTGAGTTTGACCAAAAATATGGAAGACTTCTCTCTTTAATCTGACAATTTAAAATATGTGCGAAGAATTTGGACACAGTGGCCTTCAATTTGGATATTGAGGAAGTGTTTGATAAAATTTAAAAATAAATTAGTTGAACGATGAAAGTTAAATAGTTTATTGAATTAAAAATATTTGATAAAATTATTTGTTGAAATAGCTCAAATATAAAATAACATGAAGACATGACTAAATAAGACTAGAATTTGAAATTTGATAGTCACACAAATTTTAAATATAAATAAATATTTATATTTTTTCATTTATAATATTTTATTGAATAAAATAAAATAATAGAATATATATATATATATATATATATATATATATATATAATTCCGATGATTTATATTATAAAATATGATATTAAATTATTTTGTTAAATTATTTATGTTGAACTTGACAAAAGTAAATGTATTAGGGTTTTAGAAACTGAATAGTATAAAGGAGAATTACTAAAAAGAAGTAGGGATAAAAATGAATAAAATTATTTTCAATTAGTAATTTTTTTTAAATACTAGTAACTATCATTTCATCTACTTTTGCAAATAAAATTGGTTTTATAAATAAGCTTTTCATATAGTAAAATTAGCTTTCAACCGGTTAAAAAGTATTTTCAAACAAACTCTAAGAGAGTACTGAATTAAATTATAAGTTGACTAAAAGTTAAAAATTTAATAATAAAAGTTGAAAAGATAATTAATTGATTGAAAAATATTTAATCAAAAATTTAATTTGTTTGGTAAAAGATGAATTCATTTATTTTGATCATCTTATAACATAAGAAAATATATTTTTTTTCAAAAAATTGTGACCCTACAATAACTCAAGGAATAAGTATGTGTTTAGGTATAAATTAAGTTTCTTATTTTGAGAAATATTTAGGAGTCCCTATCAACTATCTTAAGCCTTCCAGACAAGATTGCTTCTTTTTCGTTGACAAAGATGTTATTTAATTAGTTTGAGAAAAATTTGTAGACCTAAAAATAAGTCTTGTGAATTAGACTTATTTTATGAAAATCTAGTGGAGACTCATAACTTCTCCTAATGACTTGTGAGCTCTGGTCTTATGCAAAAATATAAACTTACCATTGGCAAGATACCTTGTCCTAATACTAATCATAATTAGTCTTACTTGTGAAAAAATATTATTTTTAGGATGGGTTCTTGGGGATGGTATGACCATTAGATTCTGGAAGGATAGCTGGGTTCCAGAGTCTTGTTAATTATGTTGTTCAACCTATTCTTGATAATGATATTAATATGCTTGTTGCTATGTTTTGCCCTTAAGGTAATTGGGATTGGCCTAGGATTAGTTCAGTGCTTCCTGCCTCCCTATGTGAATCCATCTCTAATAATTTTTCTACTGGTGAGAATGGGGGTTAGACCTTTTCTTCTGGAAATATTCTAGCAATGGGATTTTTTCTATTAAATCAGCCTATAATTTGATTGCTTCCTTGACAGGTAATGGAGAAAATCAAAATCATAATAAAATTTTTAAATTTGTTTGGAATTGTGGGGTCCACCTAAAATCTCATTTTTCATTTGGAAAATTGCAATGGTAGGTTGCTAATAAATGTGGAAAATCGAGATATGACTATCTCTCCTTATTGCCGTAGATGCAATGAAGAGGCTGAATCCATCATGCATATCCTTAGGGATGGTTAGTTTTCTAGAACATTTTAGAACCAGCTAATTCTCTTTGAAAATTGGTCTTTTTTTAGTAAAAATTTACATAAATGGCTGGAATATAATTTGTCTCCACAAAACTTTAAAATTTACCTCCACTAGAATGTTTTATTTGGTATGGTTATTTGGAATTTATGGATAAATAGAAACAATGCTATAAGTTTTCAACAATAAGTTTGTAACTTTTAGCTAGGTTAACAACTAAAAATTATAAACTCATAACTTTCAATTCATTTTACCAAACATAGTTATAATTTTGCTAAAAAATTGTACACATGATTCTCTCTCACCAATTGAATGACTAGCATAGCCTAACAACTGTCTTAGGAAAAATTATTCGGTAGTCAAGAATCATGTGATCTCATCTACTCATGTTTTGTCAAGTGTTAATATTTTAAAAGATACATGTGGTATTTTTTTTATTAGTTGAGACTATGATAAGTTAGGACCTTATATAATATTTTTCAAGAAGATTCTTTCTTGCCAATGAGATTCTCCTTTTTATACATATACTTTTTTCCATTAAATTAGATTTTCTATTTTTTAGAAAATTTTTCTTTTCTCTTCTTTTTCATTTGTTTTATTTTTTTTATGTATTCATTTTCACCTTTTTCTTTAATCCTTATTTTCTTACTGTTGTCCCTTATAACTTAATTAGCCTTTTTTCCCATCTTACCTAAAATCAGCCATATCATCTTCCTTTACTTCTAATATCTAAGATAGTTCCTATTATTTTTAATGGTCATTTTTACTATTCAATTAAAGCACAATTATAATACTAGCAGTTACACAAACATAAAATGGAAAAGAAAAAGATATATAGTGAGAAAAAACAAAAGGAGAGGTTTATTTATGTAATTGCATGAGACTTTATTCAGGCAACAACAGCAAATTAAATAATCTTTTAAAGTCTTTTATATTCTTATTTTGTATGCATTTTAAGTAATATTCAATTACTCTGGTTAGAAATTATGATTCCCTATCTTATGTAAATTTCAATTTTAATACTTAATATAAGTGCCATTAAACTTATTTCAAAACTTTAATCTCAACATTATTGAAAAGAAAAAGTTAGTAAATTTTTACCATGTAATTAATTTAGTCCCACACAATTCAACTTCAAAAGTTTTTGACCTGCAATGGGCCAACGCAGTTTTTACGAGTACTACTGCAAGTAGACATTGATCTTTTACGACAAAAGAAAAAAGAAAAACATTAAATCTTTTACGACCAAAAATAAAAAAATAAAAAATTGATCTTTTATATTAGGGAAATTATACTAATCTCATGAAATTTAATGAAATTACACCTGCACACCCCATTTATTTTAGAAGTCGCACTCACCTTTCTCGACTACAAGTCAATGTCTCTCTTGAATTGCAGTAATAATTAAATCACAAGGTAGAAACTAAAAAGCAACAAGTAAAAATGCAATTTAATTTATCCTTTTCGAAATAATTAGAATTAATAAAAATCAAAATGATTTCTTTAAGAAAATTAAACTAAATAAAATCATATTTATAAAAATAAAAAATATATTTAAAGACTTAATTATACTCATGGTAATATTTTTAAAAAGACGGTGATATTTGAAATAAAAATTATTATCAATGACCATGAATTTGGCAGTTAGAACACGGACTTTCTACTATACAAATTCCAACTGCATGTGGGTACATTCATGATTCAACAACTGATATCTGTAAAGCGTTAACCTTCCAAAATTAAAGAAACCTGAACTATAAAAATTTTAACAGCATGTGTAGAACTAAGATCCAAACACTGAACTCAGGAAGTTGGCTTCCTTTTAGTAACCTCGAAGTTGAGTTTCTCGACTAGTGAGGGGCACATAACGAACAGAGGTCTCAGTGCGAACACTGATAGAACCATCAGAATTCTTATCCACCACCTTTAAATCTTGAAATATGTTTCCAACAGGAATCACCATTCTACCTCCAGGCTTCAGCTGGTCAATAAGTGGTTGGGGAATTTCCGGTGCTGCTGCTCCAACGTGAATGGCATCATAAGGAGCAAACTCTGGCCAACCTTGCCTTCCATCTGTCAACACAACAGTTACTCAAATAGTTGAAATTATCAATGTACTAAGAAGGCAAAATTCCAATAAGTTGAAATTAATAGGATTATGCAGCTATAGTACATCCATTAGATTCCATTGTCATATGCATAATATCCCCCTCAGAATACAAGAACAATCTTCTGGATCATCTATATTTTCAGTTTTGGTGAACTCAGTCACCTCGAACAAATCCTTAACCCCAAAGTTTATTTCATGGCCTACACATAAATAAAAGCATAAACTTCCATCTTTCAGATTCAGCAGAAATTTCAGAAACCATACCACCAACATGAACAGAAAGGGAACCATCTTTCAACAGCATAGCTGCAGCACTTTTATGAATATTCTCTATTGAAAAAGAAACCAATTCAGGAATATGCTCCACTCCAACAGCACGTCCTTGGGGTCCAACCATCAAGCCAAAGCACGCAGTCAGGTATCCTGTTCCTGCAAATAGGCCAAAAATGTGGAAATTGTGAACACCAAGTGAAGAGAACAAAGAGAAGAGGCCAAAAAGAACTGCTGTTACTTAGAACATCAGTAGCTCCATATAGAATATATTTGAACCTCAAATTATCCACATTGAATTGGGATTACACAAATCAATAGGAGAAACCTAATTCTAAACGCCTTTCAGAAAACACAGTCACGGTTTTACATCATATCATCTTGCTACGCCCATATAACCTCACCACCAAATGAGATTGTTTAAACTCAGAAACTACTCTTCATCCACATTCCATGCAATCTGGTGTTCAAGCAATAATATCCAGTCTCTCACCGTTATTATTACACCTTGTCAGCCATCAACTTGTCTAAGTTCTACCATCTGCCTCAATAAACAGTCTCTTCAACACAAGACAACAACTTCATCATTTTATCCAACATATTCATGCCTCATCAACAAGAAATCAAATGCGCAGAAATACTAACGGAACCCCCAAAAACTTCATTCACCAACTAACATGCAACTCCCATTTCTCCTGGATGTGGTCAAATAAAAATTTAGAAAACCAATAACTTTCTAACTTGATCATACATAAGTTCAGGGACTATATTCTATTTACCAGAACCAATGTCCAGAGCATGCATCCCAGGCTGCAAATTATCATCCAGCAACTGAAGGCACGTGGCATGCATATGCGGTGCAGATATAGTGGCATTGTACCCTATGGCCATGGGGCTGTCATCATAAGGTGAAGCTCCATCAGGTACAAACAAAGCTCTATCAACTGTCTCCATTACCTCAGCCACCTTACTCGATGAAATCACTCCATAACGCTGCAACCTTTCCACCATGGCTTTGTTCTTACTCATCCCACTCACAGAGCAGAACCGCTGCCATTTTTTCAAAAATATTTTTATTCAATAATTTCTTGGCATAAAAAAAATACAAGTAATGCTATATCTTCCTAATATTTGATTGGGTATGGAATGAAAATTTGAATGTATTTAAATTGTTAAAAACATACAATACATTTAATTCCTTCTTACCGTGGATTTAGAATGATTCAAAAACAGTTTTTCTACCGTTGTGTAGTTGGACACAACAAAAAATCAATAAATAGTTAATTTTTATTGAAAATTGTAGCATTTAATGTTATAATGCATTAAATTTGTAATATCTTTTGATTTTTAAAAACTTGGTGGATATATGTTCTTATTGGGTGCCCTTGATTACCGCTTAGAAAAATCGATTCAAAAATTTCGCAGGAATTAAGGAACACAAGTAACAATACTGCTTGGTTTTCTTCCATTTCTCTTTTCTTTCTCCGCTGGGAAAGTGCGCACTAAGGTTCCCCGTGAGGAGTGAAATAATTGAAAAAAAAACCTAAAAAAGCAAAAATAAAAGGAATAGGAAGAAAGAGAGAGTGAAATAATTGAAAAAAACCTGCATGCGAAGGAAGAGAGTGTTCCCCGTGAGGAAATTAGGGTTTGGGAAGAAGAAGAGGTTGGTGATGAAGGAGAAGGTGGAAGAGTGAGGAGGTGACAAAGAAACACGTGTGTGGTTGGAGAGAGTGTGAGCGCGTGTAGTTGTAGTTATGCGTGTAGCACTTGCATATGCATAACAGTAGCGGCAACCAAACGCTAACGCAGGGAAAGGGTAGTAGTGGTACGTTACGCTCATTTCTCTTTTCTCCTTCTTTCTTTTCTTTTCTCGCTCATTCCTTTCGCACGCTTTCGTGCCCACTCGTCATATACTACCCACACGTGTCAACCCATCCTCTAGGCCCAGGCCATACGTGGGCTTCTTGTTGTGGAGGTTGGGCTTAGTTACATTCCGCTGAATATTATCGTTTAAAATAAGAAAATAAAATGTAATTTAGTTTGAGAAAATATTTTTTTTATTTTTAATGCTTAATTAAGTGTTTCATCCATACTAAAATTATATATTTTAGATTTAGTCTATATAAAATATTTTTTAAAGATATAATACATATTTTTTATAAATTATTATTTTTAGTATTTTTATACGGCCAAATATTAACTTTTGGTTGAATCACAATAGTTAGAAGATTAAAAATAATTATAAAATAAAAAAAAATATATTCTTTTAGATTTAAATATGTAATTAATCTCTGTAAATATAATATATTTTGTAATAAACTTTTATAATTTTTTTTTAGAATCTAGTCTCTAAAATATTAAGATATTAAGATTTATTTATTAGGTTTAACCTTTCTCTTATTTTAAGTGTTGAGTTGATTGATGGAGAGCCAACTCAGTGTAATATTTTTAATTTGTGAAATAAATTATAACATAGGAAGATAAATAAATTAAATACTTTTATTTTTATAGTTAAAAAAATTGAGAAAAGTTAAACTTTTTTTCATTCTATTATTTAATTTTATGAAAACTTGAACATATTCAAAATTTTTAAAAGAAGCATTTATAGAATTTAAATTTGTAAATACAGTAAAAACTAAAATTTTCATTCTTAGAATTCAGTTATTCCATAATACAAACATATAAATTTGAAACATAAATAACACTGTCTTCCAATAGAGTAAATTTTTATAAAAATGAATATAATCTATAGTTAAAATAACTAACTATCAATATTATAAATATATTTCAAATTAATATTTACAACTAAACTTATCACAGTATTATAAATTCAAAATTAACATTTAGAATAATTACATAACCTTGCCAATTTAAATAAAAATTTAATAAATATTACAATTTTTTAGAATATTGTAAACCCTACAAAATATTTTTTTTTTATATTCTCACTGAGAATATAACTCTAGATCGAGTCAATCTTTTTTAATTTTTTTAAATTCATTTCATGAAAATAGTTAGTAAGGGTGAGTATTCCTTATCTCAATTTAATAAACTTCAAGTGTTGGCTAAGAAATAAGGATTAAGGAGAAAATGCAACAATAGTTATATACCAAGAATTAGGAAGAAGAGTTAATTATAGGTTTATAACTAGGATCGTAAGATCCTACCAAATATATAAAGTTATACTTAATCATATACATATGCATAAAAAATAACAGATAAAGAAAATAACCTCTAAATCACATGTTTTAACTATAAATAAATAAACTTAAGAATTGCATTAAAATTAGAATATGTCATATAGAATTGTTTTTGAATCTTTCTTTTTAAGTCTTTTCTTTTCGTGAAAAGAGAGCTTTAACACTACTAAGGTTTTCCTTTAACCTTAGCCTTCTTCCTTTCTCATTTGGTGTCACTTTGCCTTTGTAACTGTAGATTTGAGGAGATTTGATCCCTTGAAACTCCTATTGTTGGCACAATGCTGTTAAGGATGGCTCACCATGAAGCGAAGAAGCATTTAAAGGAGGAGATCATTGGTGGATAGAAGTAGGAAGAAAGTCAAATTGGCTTCACAATCTCTCATGGAGGTTTTGAAAGTGGACATGAAAGAAGATAAACATAAAGATGAAAATCAAGTGTTTTCTAACTTTAATCCTTTTGCCTTTGTTTTATATAAAAATAAAGTATTGGCTTCAAAATGTTTAGATCTGATACTAGGAGATAAAGATATAATTAAATTAATTTTAGAAGAGTTAAATATTAACCCTAAGGTTGAAGAACAAGATTTACTTGATAACAATAATTGGAATCTTTGTCCCGAACTGAAAGTGCATATTTCTAGGGTATGCATGACAGATAAAGGGCTATAAATTATGATGTATAGAGAAGTTATGTTCACCTAAGATCGTTGTCGATAAAGATGCTAAGTTTGATAAGGGGACATTGAGAAATCAAAAAGAAGAATCTTATAAAGATTAGGTAGACGTAGATCATGCTGCTAAGAAATAAGTGGAGCTAGAAATTGATGTTGGGAAGATAAAACGAGAAAAAGATACAAATCAACTATGTATTTTAAGTGTTATTTAACCCAAAGTAGAACAACATGATGAGTCTAATAATATGGATCATAGTAAAGAAGAACCATACAGTATTACTACTAGCAGGACAAGATAACAGATTTAAAGACCTTAGAGATATTTGAATTCTGTTACCTGTGCACTTGATTCGTTAGATGGAGATCCTATAGCATTTGCTTTTGCTATGGTATATGGTACGATAGAAGATGAATTGTCTACCTATCGTGATGCAATAGATAGTAACGAGTTAACATAATGACTAATAGTAATAACGAGGAGATTGAATCTTTTCAGAAAAATAAGACTTGTGAGCTGGTAAAACTTCTTAAGGAAAAAAGAATCATGACTACAAATGGATCTTTAAAAGAAAAAAAAGAATCCCTAGTATTGAACTTCCAAGGTTCAAGACAAAACTGGTAACAAAGGGCTATACAAAAGAAGGATATTAACTTCCATGAAGTATTCTCTCCTGCAGTGAAGTATAGCTCTATCATGATCCTCTTAGCTATTGTAAATACATTTGACTTAGAGTTAGAACAACTTAATGTGAAGACGATGTTTTTGCATGGTGAGTTGGAGAAGAATATTTACACGAGTCAACTATAAGGGTTCATTTTTCCTGAGAATAATGACCATGTATGCTTGTTGAAAAAGTCATTGTATGGCTTGAAACAATCCTCAATGTAGTGGTGTAAGAGATTTGATGTATTTATGATTGGTAATGGATATAAAAAAAATTGATATGATAATTGCATATACTCTAAAGAGCTTCTAGACAGTTGTAAGATTTATCTATTGTTGTATGTAGATGATAGGCTAATTGTAGCAAGCAATAAAGCTGAAATTAGAATGCTTAAAGCTCAGTTGGGAATCGAATTCAAGATGAAAGACTTAAGTGCAACAAAAGAAGATTCTTGGCATAGAGATTCATAAAGAGAAACATTGTGGCAAGTTGTGGTTATCCCAACAAAAATATGTAATAAAGGTGTTACAACATTTCAATATGGATCAATCTAAATTGGTCAGTACTTCTTTAGCTGCACGATATAAGTTATCATCAATCGAGTGTGCGAAAACTGAGGAGGAGGTAGAGCATATGTCTCATATACCTTATTCTAGTGCAATTGGTAGTTTCATGTATACCATGGTGTGCATTAGACCAGATCTTTCACATGTTGTAAGTGTAGTAAGTAGGTTTGTGAGCAAACCAAGAAAGCTACACTAGGAAGCTGTGAAATGGATCATGTGATACTTGAGAGGTGTTGTAGATGTTTGTTTGGTATTTAACGGTCAATAAACCAAAGGAGTTATAGGCTATATAATTTCTAATTATGTTGGTGATCTAGATAAAAAGAGGTCATTGACAAGTTATATCTTTAGAGCCTGTGGATGTATTATTAATTGGAAGGCAACATTGCAACATATGTTGGCATTATTAACTACTGAAGATAAGTATATGGCATTAGCTAAAGCTGTTAAAGAGAGCATATAGGTGCATGGTCTTTTGGATAGTTTTGAGTTGAGCCAGCAGGTGCCAATTTATATCAGACTTTACTTTATTAGAGAAAGTGAGTAATAAAATGATTATGATTAAAAAGGTAGCTAAAATTAAAATCCAGCAAACATGATGACAAAATCGTTGCCGGTTGATAAGTTCAAAATCAATATTTGTAGAAGTTGAAGACTTATGTCAAAGAACCAAATACAAGCTAAGGTGGAGAATTGTTAAAATTAGCTTATATTTAGTCAAATGAAGGAAAGTTATAGAAAGAATTCATGGAGCCTATTTTTATGGGTTTCTTTAAATGCATGTGTGACAAAAATGAATTCTTATGTTGCTATAAACATGGGCCTTCATTTCCTTATAGAAACATTAACGTACAAAAGCATAAGAAAGAAAAGAAAAAGATTTTTTTAATGCTTTATAGTGAGAGAAAAATAGAGATTTGAGAGAAATTTCTATGAGTGTAATTTTGGGAGTGCTTTACTAAGTCAATTTTCACAATAATTTTGCATATGCTTCCACTCACATTTATTAAGTTGTTCACACACTTGGGGTGTATTAAACTCTGATTTCTTAACAATATGATTATTAAATTAGATTTGAAAATTTTTTATGATAAGCTTTAGTGGAATTTTATTACTAGTACTTTGCTTAGGGCTGACTTGAACTATAATTTTCTTAATCTTATACATTATTGTCTATCTTCTTTATTTATGATTTTGAATTAGAATAATAACTTTTCTAGTTCCTTTAAGCTTGTTAGAGGTATCCTTCAAGGGGATCCTATCTCCCTTTTGAAAGATTAACTCACCTTATTAAGGTTATTAAGGATAACATCTTGAAAAATGAGTGGATTTCTTTTTTCTTTTGACTATCAAGGTCTCAATATATCTCTTTTATTATTTGCTAATGACATCATCCTTAATGCCAAAATTGATCTTAATTAAGCTTCTATTATTACGAATTTTTTTAAAAAAAATTGTTTTGCCTTTGGCTTAAAGGTTAATATAGTCAAGTCTTCTCTGCTTTTTTCTAATAATACAAACTTTTCTCTTTATTAGGATATTAGTGATTATTTGGATATAAATTCTTCTAACCAATTTGGTCGATATTTTGATATTCCTATTAATTACCATAAACTCTCTAAGAGTTATTTTTCTTTTCTTATTGATAAAGTTAGAAAGAAACTCTCTTTAAAATATAAACTCTCTGTCTCTAGTTGGTAGGGTTGTTTTGGCTCAATCCTGCCTCACAAGCATTTCATCTTATATAATCCAAATCACTCTCATCTCTGCTAC